TGTAACTCATTATATACCAAAAGTTGCGCAATTTAATTCTTTAAAATTTACTCATTTACTTATTTAAGCTGCCTGTAATAGTTTAGGACTTATTGGCTAAAAACATAAATATTTACGGTAGCCATTTTGAAAAACCTTTCATACAAGGCCAACGCACCTCCGTAGAGTGGTAGACTTTTCACCATCGTTTTTTTCAGCCATTTTTACATAAGAATCCATTTACAGAAATTATATTACAATTACTTCTAGGTACAGGTAAGTTTTAAGCTATTTTTACTAGTCTAAATTGGTTGCAATATAAAGTTCCATTACGAAATCAGTGGAAAATCCTTTTATCACAATAACTCTGTATACAAATAAGAACTTCAACTCTTAGAGAGCCTTTGAATGTTATTATACTAACAAAAAGGGTTATGCATGTTTACTAGCGCTACTCAGCAACAAAAACCATTTAATTTATCTCTAATTTATATATTTTTAAGGTGCACTGAGCAGCAGCCTAAAAATTCTTCGATGTAACTTGCCCTTATAATATACAGTAGTTACAAAATGCTCATACTCGCATTGTGACATTTATAATTCGGCTTATAATTCTCCAACAGAAAATTCATCAGCAGAAGAATTTTATTGTACTCTTACCGTTTCTAATAACATCCAAACACAGAAACCCTGCCTAAAATGGTACCTGTCTTGACAAATTATTTTCAGTGGCCTATATTACGGACCGTGGCCCACTGGGTTGGTAACATTATTGAAAATAACACGACGATTTTGGCTGTAAAATGGCCCATTGAGTAAATACTATTCAAGCAGCTACTGTCATGACAGAAAGGTCATATTCCTTTTAAACTAGATCACATAATTCTTTATAAGATACGTTGATTAACAATGCATGTAAACGTAAATATTTACGTAACAGCCAACTAACATTATTTTTTGCTTTTTGGAAATGCCACATTACTGTGTCATTCGCATTATTTGTTTCCAATGAAGCTGCACGACCATATAAATGAGGAGGCTCCTAACAATCCGTAGAGAGATTATATTGACAACTTTATGTAACTGATAAGGCTGAGACAACTAACTATGACATCCCCCATGTCAAGGAATTCCAGCTTTAACAGTAACCTCAAAACCAATTTCTCAAAACTGTGCTAGAGGGTTATTCATCGGCACAGAAGTACGATATGAACTGACGCGACGTGACAAAGGAAAAATCAAACTTACACCACAGACAATGGAAACAAAGACAAAGTATTATATAGTCTGGGCTATTACCATTAGCGAAAAAATCTCTCATGGCAAAAATAATACGATCCTGATGAAATTTGTACAAACGTGTCGTGTAAACCTACAACGAATGAGTCCGCGAACCAACACAATTGGAATACGCGAAAATGAGTTTATGAGGGTAATAAGAATAAGGTAAAGATTTTTACATGGGCATAATGATTGAATTTCCAAACAAAATTTAAAATGTTAACCAATTGTAAATAGCTTATGTATGGCATGCAGAAGGAATTTTGTATATATTTTATGTATTTCTGTAATTTACGTAACCAATGCATAAATTATGTAAATCTGGTTGAATAAATCACTTATGACTTTAGAGTAAAATACCCCCGCCGCAGCAAACCTGCATACTAAGCGAATTTCCATTTGCCTAACTGGATTTACACTAAAGTGTCTCCTTTAAAATATCACGTAAACTATCGTACGTAACTCGTCCAAAATGTGTGTACCGGACTCGTATGGTAATCCCGTACAGCTCGTGACATCTAAGCTGGCACTTGGCCGATCGCTAATAGTACCTTTTTCAAAAACATTATGTCTCGTCATGCGGGTTGCATCAACTGTCCTCGCGACCCATATGAAGGCGCTCAAGTACATAATACAAGGGTAGTCAACCCCGTGAGGCAGCGGAAATGTTTGCAGTCCGGTCTTTTCCCTACCTCCACCCTCCTCCCGCCTACACTGCCCGCGCTAGGCCAAGTGCCAGCTTCGAGGTGTCACGAGCTGTACTCGACTTCGTCTCGCACGGGAACGACCACACTCGTCCGGTAAACACACTTATTTTCAGGACTAGTAACGTAATATCGTATTACCGTGTACTTAGTCAGCTGTTGAAATAAACAGCTAATTTCAGCGGCCTATTTTATTTTCAGAAAAAAATCTAATTTATGTTCTGTCCTAAATAAATTGTGTCGCACGAAAATCCCGTACTCGGCTACGCCTTCGATAAAACACCTTACCGCTTACCGGGCTAGTAACGTAATACAGTAGGCAATATACTATTATTTTCTTTATACCTACTGCATTTAGATAAGGTGTTTTAAGTTTCTTAAGCAGCCATTACAGTTTACAGGTGGTTCTGATGTGTGTTTCTAAATACTGCAACAACTCTTTGATTTATTTTAAATACCCCCCCCCCCCCGCAGCAAACCTGCAGACTAAACGAATTTCCATTTGCTTGATTGGATTTACACTATCTCCTTAAAATATCACAAAATTATTCCCTATTTCAATATTGCATTAGTTTAACAAGTACTTAGGAGTTAGGTACCTATGTTGTAACAGGGAGGGTTTTAAAGTTTTTTTTTTTTTTTTTTTTTTTTTTTTTATATTATTACATGTAGGTAGTTTAGTATGAAATAAATGCATTTTCAAATTTTGATCAAAAGATGTTCATAAACAAGCTAACTACAACAGTTTACCTACTTATTCTCCATAAGAATAACATAGGGATTTTAAATTTAAAACTGTTTGAGTTTTCTCCGTAACCATAGGCGCATAATAATGCTTCAATATACTAAATAATTTGTTTTTAAGCTCTACAAAATAGTTTGGAAAGAAATTATTGCAAAATTTTATGTTGTCATTGCTTGGATCGCCATATTGGCAATGGAAAGGTTAACAAAAGAATCAAAGCATCTGCAGAGGCAAATTAACGCAGTTTTTTCATTTTCTCATTTCCGGTGTAAGTTGCTGATACAAATGTAAAACTAACAACTCAAAGTGTAACAATGAACAACGTAAAATTGTTATTTGGGTTAATCTGTTTTAACACTAAGCTAGCAAGTTAAATGAAAAAAACTATGTACTATATCATTATAATTTCAAATAAATGTATGATTGAAAAAACTTGGATGGATACCATAATCATCCTCTATCAAAGTTTGGCCTAGGTAGCACGTTTTAACTACCTTCTTACACGAAAAAAAACAGTCAATAAATCAAGTGCGACAAATGTCAAATTATTTTAAGCCTTCAAACGGAAGAACACATATTATATACACAAGATAGTTAAGATAGCATTCACAAATTTGAAGGAGACTGCAAGCGCCGTGAATAGAAGTCGTTCGGAGTTCGGAGTTTAAAAAGAACGACTCTCATTATACTCAACCGATCTGTTCAGCAAGAGCTGTTCACCTTCAATTTGAATCTCCCGCTCTTTGTCGATCTGTTTTGCTTGTCGACATTTTGCGTGTCGATAAAGTGGGAAAATTTACACAACCGTCCCACATAACAGACATCCCACATAACGACGTCCCACTTTACAGACATCCCATATTACCGACACTGTCGACATTTTGAGTTGTCGACAAAGTGGGACTATTTCAGTGTCGATCTTTTGGGATGTCGATAAACTGGGACCCCACGGTGTGCAGCAGTTTTAAATCTTTATTCAAGCATATTACATGACACATTACTCAATCATAGATCAAACAGACTCAAATTCCGTTGGCGAACCTGTTTTATTTGGACCAACACATGTTTTTCTTCAGCTTTGCAGCAGACGTGACGTAAATGGTGACCATTTTATCACCCCCACAGTGTTGACAAAATATCGGTTCAATATCGTTTGTAGTCATATCGACCATCACTTGCTATCGATTATCGATTAAAACACACTAAAAGGACTTGTGAAAATGAACAAAAATTATGAATTATTAATATTTAATTTAATACTAACGCCGGAATGTTAGTCTGCCTTTTATCCCTATTAACTTATTTAACTTAAATAACGCGTCTTGGGTATACCTAACCTTTTAAAATAATGATTTGACAACTAAGAATCTTTTGACCTTAAACACCAAGTAGGAAGCAAAATACGACGGGGTAGTTTGACTCGAAACTCAAGAGAAGGAACTATTTATTGTGTTGTACCAGTCCTCTTTTACACCCTTACCCACAAGCTAGCTAAAATAAAGCAAGTGAAAGTCTGTATCACATTACTAGGCTACTTTTGTCTTTTCGTAGTAGCAGCCTATTATTTTAAAGCATTTTCCAGCCACAAGGGTGATTAATATATTGCATATTTCAATAATTCACACGCTGGCTGGAACGAACCTGATAAAACTGATAATTACCTATCATTATTGTTATATATTAGTTCATAGAAAGTTTTATAGTTAAAACCGTTTACGATAGGCCTATACGTTCTAATGAACCATCTCGGTGTTTATTTAATTAGGCCTAACTTGCTTCAATTATTTATTTGGCCTTTAAGCAATGCAATAGGCTATGTCACTCTCGATACAAAATAAATAATAAATAGTCCATCTTGACTCAAAAATGTGCTAAATAAATATTTCGATACACAACAGTGTCAGATGTAGGACCTCACTAACTGAACAATCCCACCCAACAGCAAAGTGAATATACACACATAACAATTCAGAATCATAAGTCATATATTTTGGATGTGCTAATAATAACTTAGGCTAGCCCAAGAAATATTTTTTATGATAGGTGTGCAATTTAGGAGGCGAGGATTGGCTTTGGCTTTGCTCTTGCTTGGCTTGGCGGGACATCAGCAGAAAACGGTCCAGATGGTTGGTTGTCAACGTTGATCACTGGTTTGGTTATCGAAAACGATCTGTTCGGTCGGTTTACAATCGATTGGTCGATATGGCTACGAAAAAATGTCAACACTGTGTTGGTGATAAAATGGGCACCGACGTAAATTCCTACTCTTGTTTGTTTGTTTGTATTCAACTAACTACGTCGTCTGTCTGTCGTCGTCAATGTTTTGGTTACGCAATAACAAAAGTCACGTTTGAGTGTTTGTCAACAAAGTATAACTCTTTTCTGTTGAACTAAAAAGTGCTTATTAGTTGGGATACAGGTTGTAATATTACCTCTTCCATGCAAGGAAAATAGGTGATATTTGAAAACCCTATTAAATAGGCCGAGTATTTCTTCAAATCTCCATAAAAATGATGGACTTTGATGAATCCTTCATTGCAAGTCATGATTTCGAGGAACCTGTAAGTATGGTGGCAGAAAAACTAGGCCATAGTGTTATATTTAGTCACGCTTCCTATTCCTAACTTGATTTTGTCATTTCTTAAAATTGGCTCCATTTTATTTGCTGAGCTCACCCTAGCATGACAAAAGAAACGTCAAAACTTTGATATCCTTCAGGGAGGAAGTAGGTAATAGATTTAAAATGGTAAGTTATAGACACTATTACTAGCCATAAACCTAAATAATTTGGTATTGATTCCTGAGCCTGGGCTGTGAAATTCATAATTGTTAACCCTAACCACATCATTGTATTGAGAGCCTGTTTTGGTACAGTTTCTTAACTGGGCTATGCTAATATCGATTGAAACTATCGATTCGATTAGTAAACCTTCATGCGAATTTTTCACCATCAGCAGGTTTGGTGGGTTAGGTTAGGTTATGATAGTTTAATTTTATAATAGACTAGCTGTACCCGCGGGCTTTGCCCCGCTTAACTTCATAAGTATTCGCATGGCTCAATCACATCCTGGTTGAAGTTCGATCGCTACGCTCCCACACCTTCAGGTTGGAAATCGTTCGCTGCGCTCACTTGTTTTCAGGTTAGCTCGTTCGCTACGCTTACTTGCCTCCAGGTTGATGTTCGTTCGCTACGCTCACTCACCTTTTGGTTGCAAATTAGCTGTTGTCATAAATTAAAAAAAAGTCATCCCTTTTATTGTTTATCATACAGTACTTTGATAACGGTTTATATGTTTTAATATTTAACATTGGAGAATTTAAACGTTGTTAAGTGCACAGGTGTGCTGCGATTGGGGTTTAATACATTTGGACTTATTCAAAAGTAAAATAGTTTTCTGTGCTGCAATCTGTAGAAACACTGTGGCACTATTTCAAATCACGACTAATGCTAATACAGAATGTTATGATTATTCAAACCTACAAAACAGTTGGTGAAAGTAAACATCTGCTTTTAAATTATATTTATTTGTAAACATTGTAGATAAAAAAGTCTGACATTGGCCCACTTAAAACCCTCTGGGGCAGAGCCCTTTTAACGGATCTGCACCAAACTTCACTCGAACCATCCTTGAAAAATGCTTAATAATGCCTGAAAGTTTCATTACAATCTGTCGAGCGGTTTCGGAGATATAGATATATTTAAAAGTATTGATTATTGATCAATATTTTGAATTCGATAGTTTCAATCGATATTAGCATAGCCCAGTTAAGAAACTGTAACTTACCCGCCTGTTTTATCAACTTGTACCTTACCCCACATAAGTTACCCTATTCTTACAAATTAAGCCTAAATATTTATTTTATACCTTAAGTTAATTTACGTCAACAGAAACTACTTAGGCCTACTCTTTGACTATATAGCGCTCCGATCAAGTAGGCTATATCATTCTCTTTTTTTAGATCAATTAACTTAGGCCTAATTGATCTTTGTTAAATAGTAGACTATTATCGTTGTATTGTTTGTAAATTAATTGCAGGAAACTGAAATGAGTATCAACCTCACCTGTCCTCGCAAATGACGAATATAAAACTGTTACGTTAATCACTTCAGTTTGGTAACTTGGTCATTACTTTGTTTTAAAAAAATCTTATTTCTATGAGCCAGTCACAGATTGTGCTATAGTTCAGTCGCTTAGAAACCTCTAGCATTGGTTAGCATTAGCGCGCAGGTCGCTTTCTAAGCGGCCGACCTATAATGTCTAAAATTCTATTTTCTTCCTTATTATTTTTTTTCTGACCATTGGTTAATGGGCCATAACAGTTGCTATTGCTCACAATCGGGCATTCCATTAGTAGTTTGACTTGGTAAAAAAGTCTGTGGTAGGCAGAAATTAGTAATTTAGATCAGCACAATCTGTCGGTGGCTAACATCAACCACAACTATTTTGGAAAAAAAATTGGTGAAAACTTTAAAATGGGGATGGAATGTCTAAGTTATTTAGTTAGCTTATATCAATAGTGAAAGGCTGAATGCAGTGATAGCTACCAATTGGGCCTATATTATTATTTAAAGAACGGAAACATAATAGGTCTCTGAATCACAACCCGTATTGATTTTAAGACATAAAATGATAAAATAATCATTTTCGGCAATGATGAATACAACAATTTATATGCTGGTAATTTCAATTGCAGGAACAAGCCCAAGAAGTGAGAGAATCTATTCGTAGAGGCCGTAAGCCTGGAAGAAAGTCAGCGGAAAAAGTTGATGTCAAAGCTAAACTTGGTAAGTCAAGGCTTTTCTGTTTTTATGAAGTAGAATATTTACAACAAGATATTCTTAGGGCCAATAATTAATTAACTGCTTCCTAAGTGTCTGGGAAAAGTTGTTGAATTTTACTTTTTCTGGAACAAATAATTTGTTTTGCCGTCATACGATTCACTGAATAATGCCATGGATAAAACATACTCCCTTAGTAGATTTCTCATCCTTTATGGAACAGCTGAAGCCAATTTTATTGTTAGTTCTGTCCGGTGCACTGCAGATACGGTGTTTTGTTTACAATTTGTTTCTTGTTATTTCAGTAAGATAAAACCTCGTTTGACCGAAAAAATTGATCTAAATTATTAGCATCCTCTAGTTATATAACCATAGAATAGAAACAAAATGTTGCCGACACTAGCAATCAGTGTCACCGGACATGAACTAGACACGAAAAACAAGCTTTAAAATTTACAATGGCATGAGAAGTCTATTTGTGTTGGTAAGTCTATGATAATGCTTACAAATAGATTTTGATTAAATATAAGAATGTAGTAGGCTTTCTGCCTACTTGCGTCCATATTTTACATTGCATTGTTTACTAAGATCAGCTGTTTCTTAAGTCAGGTCCTATTCAATTATTAAAACCCCAACGATCAAGGACAGCTGGGTCCAATTTTGATTAATCAAACAGCGACTGTAAGTTACTGACTTTTCTAGGGATTGAACTGGCGACTTGGTTAAGAATTAATGTTATATTGCAGAGAGAAGTCGTCAAAGCGCAAGGGAGTGCCGAGCTCGCAAGAAGTTGCGTTACCAATACCTGGAGGAATTAGTTTCCGACAGAGAAAAGGCAGTTCTTGCTCTACGCAAGGAGCTTGAGAAGGTATCTTCCTTATTTGAGGAGTAATAAGATAGTTTGTACAATAGAACCTCAAAAACCTGACTGTCATGAAAATTATTAAATAAGAATTGTTATAAAGGTTTGCAATTACATTTGATTGGCAAATAATTTCTAGGGGGTTTGGAAATTACACTTGTTATGAAGGTTCCGTTGTAAATAGCCTGAATACTCATTCCAAAGATTCGATACTCGAACAATTAGGTAACAGTATAGATAGTACTTCAATACCCTCGATGGTTGTGAATTTCTTCCATTGATTGTGTAGTCTACTTTGTTGTTAATAAATAACATTCAAAAAGTGTGCGTATAGTAATCAGCTGATTACAAGCCTTGAATTGGCCTGTTAAATTTATTTGTTTTTAGTGTTCATTACCAGCTGTGCTAATAATTCTGGAAGCATTAAGCCCTGCAGTCTGTGGTTGACCTTAAAAATCATTTCAAACTACGTCCATATTTTTAGTTGTAAACAAAGGAAAATGAGTTTGATATAATGTCAACAGATAGCGCTACAATTCCCTAACTTTAGGCCTTATCTGTACTTAAGTGATGCCCTTTTTTAATACTCTGTGACGTATTTGCACATCTACGTGAAAATACCTTTAATTTTACACCTCAAACGTTAAAATCCGTCAAGCCGTTATCGAGTTATGACTGTGAAAAGAAAACTGCTTGCGTATTAATATATAGATACTATTGCTACACACTGTTTTTGCTAGTGTTGTTTTCTCGTACCTGCAATAACCCTTATTGCTTCAACAGAATGATCCATTTTTAGCTGTGACGTAATATTAAAATTAAATTTTACTGAGGGTTGTTTAGGGTTATTTTCTTATGAGATTTAGTTTGGTTTTTCAAGTCGTATAACAAGTGCAGACTGTGTTGCAGTACAGAATGTGGGGCCGGGAGCTCGACGAGGGAAGAATTCCGGAGGGATTCCAGGCACTCCTGGAAGAAATGGGTGCAGTGAAACCAGAAGGTTAAGTTCTCCAGAACTCAAATGTTGTTGTTTTACCTGTCTATTTAGAACAACTGTGTTGGGACAAAATCCAGTGTTTTATGTATATACATGTAAGATATATGTTAATAAATATTTATTTTTATATATATGTATTTTTCCCTTTTTGTTGAGGAACATCATAGAGAAGTAAGGTACAGAAGACTACCGTGCAGTATTTTGTGCCGCAAATATACTTTTGATGAGCCAGGAAGACCCCAAACAGCGAGCACTGTGCGGAAATTCCTATCACACAGGGCACAGTGTCTTCCTCCACCATGAGCGTTGAAGTAAGTGAGGGCGAGAGGGGGGCAGTTGTAATTTGCCCTAGACACCAACAACTAGTGCTAGACACCACTTAAGTGTACCATGGAGTGTATCCTCTGTTCCTTACTTCCATGTGGTACATTTTATCGGGGTTTACAGAAAAGATATTATATTTATTTTAGTAAATTTGAGACAAAACTAATCTTAATATTCGTTCAATCATAAATAACTTCTTAAAGTCGTATTTAATTTAGGGTTTGTGATCAAAGATAAGTGCGATTTACACTCATAGAAAATAGCTGGATTTGTTTAAATGCAAGAATAACAACAGCCAAACAATTTTTTTGTTACAACACACTGAAAAAGAATAATGGAAATTGGGAAAAGGAATGACTACTCTGAACTTATAAAAAACAAATATTTATTTTGTTGCCGAAGTAGCGTTTGTCTGACGACACAACAGGTAGGATCCAACAGTCCACGATACGCTGGTTACGACGTCAATCTTTGGCGAGACTAAGACCAGAGTTTGTTGGCAGTAAATTAAAATGAAAAACATTGAATTACGTAAATCCACAAGATCTATAAGTTAGCACTTCTAACGAGGCATGAGTTCTACACTCTCCGTCGTAAATGGATGTAAAACATAAATTACTCCTCCATTGTTAGTAGGCCACGTAAACTAAAACTATCCAAACAATTAAAAAAATTAAGTACAACACCTAAGATACTTTAGGTTATATTCTCAATGTAGAACTCAAGCCTCGATAGATGTTGCGAGTGGATACTACAGAATATCCATGGTCGTAAGACCTTACAAAAGAAAAACAACTTTGAGAAATCAAAAATGAGTCTTGCTAAATGATGTACATTTCTTGTCAATAAGTTGAAATGAAAATTCTCTTGTCAATAAGGGTGAAAGTTAGTTGTTGCGTGTGGTCGAGGGTTTCCAGAAGTTGTTTGGGGTGTTTGGAGCCCAGATGTTGCTTAGAGAGCGGAACGGGTCGTATTCCAGACCGAGCTGAAAGCAGACGACACTCAGATCAATAGAGAATCAGAAACATAGACAATCAAATATCTTCAGTTAGGATAGCAGGATTACCTAAATGGGAAAGAGTACAAACTGGCACAAGATACACAAAACTTTAACCTACACACATCAACTAAGCAAGAGAGTTGTTTTAGGCCTAAAAAACCCTACCTTCCTGTGTTGAAACTGCTGTCATTGGCAATGAAATATTGTAATGTTTTGAGTAAGCAGAGTCGATTTTTTTCCCTTTTTGTCAGTAAGACTTTCCGATTTAAGTAAGCCTGCTATCCTGACTCAAAATCTTAAGATACTAGAAATAACTACAGGTAATGTGAAATTGCAACCCTTCCCGGTCGGGTGACGGATGTATCCGCTTATGGTTTTTGATGTTCCGGACGGGAAGCGGATATATCCGCCTTCTTTTCAGACAGACTGGCAGGTGCTTGAGCAGTAACCACATGTTTCGCAGTACCAAGGTGCCACTTTCCTACTCTCCCCCCTCTCTCACGCGCCTACCCTCTCCCGCTCCTCACCCTCTCCCCTCGCACTACCCACCTCTCCTACGCTCCCCCCTCGAAGAGTCTAAGGAACATGTCGGCCTTAGTCACTAACAAGACTACAAGATCGCGCCACTCATCCTTCACTCATATTTGGGTTAAAATACGCACATAGTGGCGTCCCTATCTTAAATAATCGATTGATTGATAATTGATAATTGATTCGCGCTCAACACTAAGTTGTCTTTATTTATTGTTTACATATTGTTCTTTCTTTATTGCCTAACGTTGTCATGGTCATATCTTCAAAGACGGGTGGCGGATATATCCGCTGCTTTTCTACTCATCCGCGGACGGTCAGCGAATATATCCGCATATTTAAAAACGAGTAAAAAAATTATTTTGACATTATGAATTGTTCTATTGTGTTTATTTCACGTGTACATGTATAACAAAATACAAAAAAGGAAAATTAATTTTTGTTTTTTTCTATAATTTTTCCCGTCCTATATCACGATTTTGCCCGTCCGGGAAGGGTTAAGTAAGCAGATTAATTTTCATGGGAGCCCTTTAAGTTGTTAAGCTAGAACAAGTAATTTGTACATACTGCACATTCATGTGTACACTATCAGGTGAGTCAAACTATTGTTAGAGCGATGGACCATAAACTCATGACGGAGATGACTTGGGTTATGTACCAGTGCTTACTTTAACTCACTCCTTACTTTACCCCTCCCATTTATTTCACACAACGACCTTTGATGCCAAATGGATGGGCAAAAGCAAAGTAATAAGAGTCCAAATTTAGAATAAAGTAGGGGTCTGAGGGCTTTTTTTTACTATGTTGGAGTCAAAAGTTATGAGCTTTGGGTCTTGGCCAAAATCAGGTTGCTTTGAAAAGTGTATTACTATAATCGGGTTCAATACTGTACATGATCTCCCCCATTCCCCAGTCATGGTGAAATAGTGAACAACTTCCACGTTCACTGTAATTCGTGAACATATTCCCCATCACAGCAAAACCAAGAATATATTCTCTACTCACAATGAAATCGTGAATGTCTGCGGCCCCGATAAAACCTTAAACATCTCCCCAAAAATTATTTCAAGCCCGAACTGAGTACCGACCCCTCAGGTCGACTATTAATCCGATGTGACCAAAATTATCGTAGACCCACAGACCCCTTAAAAATGTAAAGGTTTTGACTACAATATAAAGATTTATACAGTTTAGCAAACAGAAAGTACTCACGTCCAGGTCAGGGTTGGTGGGGTCGTCGCAGGGCAGGCGAGGTGGAGGACGAGGTGCTAGCCCAGGCGGGGCCCAGGTGTCTGGTGGCGGGGGTGGAGCCCACACATCACTGCCCCACAGTCCTGTAGTGTGAGGTGGAGCGGGGGTGGTGTCAGGAGCTGAACTGCCAGTACAGATCGGCTCCCAGGGTGTCCATGTGTCTATAACAGACGAATAAGCATTACGGAATACAAATTATAGAAACTGTCTTGGTATCGAGTGTTTTATCGTCTTCAAAATGGTTGCTGGTTTGATCAATGGGTTGTTCCTCGACTCGGAAGCCATTTGATATTGGGCAATCAGTTATTGGTGCCAACGAAAGTTCGAATTGCAAAATGGATATAGTTAATATTTTTTAGGAAACAAGAAAATTTGGAATAATCCCCAACAGCCAAAGGCCTTCAGAGTTAGCGAACAGATGTTCCAGAGTAGCTATCGACTGTTCCTACCCTTCTACCCATTCACATCTTAATTCATTAAGGTTTTAGATAGGAAGACAGCCTTGGATGCATAGGCTGACCAACAGGTATAATCAGTGGCACTCCAGAAAAGTCTCTTTCGCCAAGCCATTTAAGGGATGTACACCAGAAAGGGAAGAATAGCTCGGAGGAAGTAGGATCATCTCGTTGTAAGTGATGTGAATTGCTACACTGATGGGTCCAAGGTAAGACTAGTGGGTACTGATGCAGGTGGGGTTTAGGTAAAGAAAATAACTAGCATCAGCCTTCCAATGCACCAGTTTTTCAAACAGAGGCCACCACCATTTCGGTTTGTGACTGCAAAAATCTCAGTAAGGCCAGGAAATTGTGAAAGGGGTCTGTCTATACCAACAGTACACACAAGTTATCATTGTAGCAGTAACTGACCTTGGAAGACGGGGCGTCGTTGGAACTCTTCTGCCTCAAGTCTCCGTTGCTCTTGGGCTTGCAACATCTTCAGTAGCAGCGGGGGCTCCGTCCATGTCTCGGCCGCCCCAAACTTGCAATTCTGTGGAACAAGAGGCACTTAATACAAATATTTTGCCAAGTTGTCATACAAAGCGGTATTTTGTTTCACTTGAATCAACATTTTACTTTGCCCACTTTGGAGGACAACAGAACAAACTCAACCAGCCTCAATATCAATATTCAATATTGTATTGTTTGAAAAGTGCCACTTTGCGTACTATAGTTGTAAAATTAAATTTCAGTTTATGAGTTTAAATATCTATAATGATAAAAAGAGAGAGGTACTATTAAAGGAGGACAACGCACTGCGGCAATTATGATAGGTTGGGTTATAAATATGTTTGTAGGACTTTCCTGGTTACGTTATGAATCAAACGATTCCAGATGAGTCATGCTTTCATTTATGATAACCCAAACTAACATAATCGCCACAGCGCACTGTATTAGGGTGGCATCCGTATAATACCAAAGTACCAAGAGAGACAGACAATCATTTTTATTTGTCAATATTTTAATGACTTGATGAGATGTTAAATTCTTTGTTTACATTTCAAATTGATTTTTATTATTTTGGTTCAGTGACATTAAACATTAACTTCTGAAGAAGAAGAATAAGAAGTCCAGTTTCAGACGAGATAGGCTAAATTTGCAATTGAAGCTTTAAACTCTACATCATCATCTTTTCACGGTCGCACGTCTACTGTGATAACGTAACATTTTTGTCGTCACCGATGGCAATAAACCTTGTATTTATGATCGCACGATTTTTGCAGAAGTTTTCCGCTATCCCAATGTAAAAGCTAAGCTTGAGCTTGATTTTCTAACTTGGTGCTCGATCCCTCGAGCTTGTATGCTACGCTTGACACAAAACAATCAGACACGTCTAGTTTAAAATATATCTTATATGGAAAATGGAAACAAATTCTTTAACTGGACATTTTTACAGATTCAAAAGAGTTAATCGATTTTGTAATTGACAACAGAACCATCCCGGCCAGACTTTCTACGTTATTAAAAAACAACAATCAATAAATTAACTAACACCTACGAATGAATAAGCTTAACATACCCGAGGCTGTACAGTCTGTTGTGGTTGCGGTCTGGTGTCGAACGTGTCCATGAAAAAGCTGGAACAACTTGTGGGATCAGGTGTAGGTGCAGGGGCTGACACATTCCAGCCCCACACACTGGGGAATGTCTTCTTGGATCCTATGGGACCTGAAAACAATCAGGTCAAGTGAGAAAGATTAAAGAGAATATCCAATGGTGATAAAATTGCCACCTTCTCAATTCGGTGGAGTTCCTAGTTGGGGGAATGGCTTTAATTACTAGTAGTAAAACAGCTGTTGAAGTATTCATTGTTGTGGGTTGCAGCCCCGGAAGGTATGGCCATCTAGAGTGTGGGGGGTTTTCTCTGGAACCTCAATTGAGTTAAGGGTGTCGCCACCTTCATCCGGGTGGGTCCCACTTTTTAACCCGCCTCCTTTTGGGAAACCCTGAGGGCCTGGCAGTGATGTTGGGCTTGATGGGCAAACGAAGTAGATCGGGTATTGGGATCAAGCCAGCTAGGGGTATCTGGGGATCTATCACCCTGGGTATCCCTGGTTACCCAGCAATGGGATGGCCTCGATCGGGTAGTGGTGGAAATGGGGGGTTGGGGTTGGTCCCCTCCCTCCTGGCTTTGATGGCGGGTTTTGGCCTGTCAGGGATTGGATAGGTCCCAGGTGTTGCTTGCAATAAATGCGTCAGGGCATTTCATTATGTACCTGCTGGTTCCAGGTGGAGTGACGCTTAACCAGGTAGCCGGTATCCCTGGTTAGGATTGAGGGGCAACCCTCTTTCCGAAGGATTGCTTCGGCAGCCGGTGAGCCTGATGACCTTAAGTCATCCGCCCATGGTGTGCCAAGGTTGGTGCGTAAGCTCCGGCCTACACCATGGGGCCCGGGTATGTTTAGTTATAGGTACCGGGTTGCAGTTCAGGGGCTTCGGCTCTTTCGACAAAACAAAATGGAATGTGGGTTGCAGCAAGGTTAACTACAAGTTTAATTTTGAATTGATTTTTCCCATCTAGGCCAGAGTTCATTCATCCTAATATGTACTACAAAGGACCTAGAAGCTCCAAAAAAATGCTGTGCATTATCTTCTATTTTTGTTACTAAGATAACCCTGCAGTTAGACCTATCCATAACAAAATCCAAAAACAGCCTTAGACATCTTTACCAAAAATCTCCTGGATGAATACATACCGAGATGTGATGGGTTGGCGGGGGCTGGCGCAGTGTGTGTGGGGTTGGCGGGGGCCTCTGTCTGGTGCTTGTTGGCATCTGACCTGGCGACCACGTCACTGAAGGAAGCTCTGGACTCGTCCCACACGGCTAGTGGAGGTGGAGGCGGCTCGTACACTACGGCTGTGTCAAGTGACAAAATCATACTTAAACAGGATAAAACTGTCATATTGCAGGCAACTTGAACTGATGTTTTGGATTTTATTTGCAGACGAACGTACCTTTAGAGACCTACTATTACATACCCTAAAGACCGCAATATAGGAAACTTGATTTTAACCAAACCCAATTAATTAAAAACCAGGGTTTTGTTGGGACAAGAATAAAAGTTCTAATCAATTCGAAGATGACCAAAGGGCACTGTCTGCCTTGGCCGGACTGGGCCAAAGAATGGAGCAGACATTTAACACGTTTCTCAAACCATAATAAAAAACAGGTCCAAAAATATCTGTAGCTTAGAGAAATACATTTAGTTTGTACAATTAATTGTTTGCCGATCTTTGTGATTGACAAAATGGCCAGTGACCATGAAATATCAATTTAGGATGTGTGTGTACGTGTGTTTTCTATTGAGAAGACTCACCCACTGTATATAAAATCCTGTTGTTCCTATTAAAAACAAAATCATATTCTAGCCTAGAACCCATTCCAAAAAAAATAAATCTAATTTGCTTTTCTAAGATAAGCTGTGAGTATTTCTTACTCTACCGTTATAGCTGATATCATTGACTATATACAATGCTGATTCTCACGTTTAGGCAGTGAGGGCAGTTTTTCAATTGATCTCTTCTGCGTAACAGTCTGTTTTTCCTTGTTGCGAGAACTCGGCTGTTTGTTGCTGGAGGGTTTGCTACGGCCACTCAGATTCTGTGTGATCTGCGTAGTGTCCGCGGTCTGTGTCTTGCTCTGCAACACAAATGTTAAACTTGTCAAATAAATTGATTTTTGTAATACCATTGAGTTTTGGATTATTACGGAGTTGACTTTCAATTTCCAGTACAAACTCTTATAACCACATCTCAACAAACTTAAACTCGGGATGACCAAAATTATGATAAAAAATGTTAATCAACTGAAAAATTAGCTAGCCAACGGAATAAATAGTTCCCTGTAGCGCAATAAAGGTACCGACATGGCAAACTACGTATTCCTATGAAACCCACTACAATACGAATATCATACTGTGACAAAGATAAAATTGAGAGAAAACTATTGTCAATTAATTTAGGAAACATATTTTGTGTATATAGTTGTAGATTTTTAAGTGACAGCAATTAAAATAAAAAAATAAAACTATTGTATACCTCCTTGAATCAAAATAGCCTTTAAATTTCAACTATTGATTGATAGAAAAAATATGTTGTACACAACGGCCTCCCTTTTTAACCCTGTTTTGTTGATAAGAGTTTCACTAACACCATGTACTAATTCTTCTGGGTACGACCGTGTCGGAATACTAGGAGAAACACTAGTTGCTAACGTTTTGTTGCAGATAGTCTCGTTAAGTGACTGTCACCAGCTTTGAAGATGGCTATCTGCAACTAAGCCGAAACGTTAGCAACTAATGTTTCTCCTAGTATTCCGACACGGTCGTACCCAGAAGACCTAGTATTTAGTGTCAGCGATTAAGACCGTGGAAGCCTTACTTCCTATGTTTGAGACCTGTATGAAAAGTTTTACTGTGTATCTATAATACCTATTAAATACCTGAGATTTTGTCTGTCTTTAAGAGTAATTATAATTTTAACAATTGTTGTTGAACTTTATGAATTATTATTACTTTGAACTTTATGTTAGTTTAGTGCTAGATATTGACACTATTCGTTGTAATGTTTTGATTTATTTACAAGTGTGTTTCACCTTGTTGCTGGCCTTCCTGTTGCGTGTCGAAGCGTGCGCCTTTTTGCCGTTACTGGTGAGGTCCTCGTCCTCCCACTCCGCCTCCAGAGACGAAGCGCTTCCTCCGTTGTTGCGGTCGGGTGCTGAGCTCTTCTTGGTTGTGTCGGACGTAACTTTAGCTGCTCGCGTACGGCCAGCCTTGTGTCCCGTCGTTGTGGCAGCATTGTCACACTCTCGCAGAGCCATAGTCACCTCCACCTCCTGCCACGCAATATTAATAATTTGTATACTATTTTTTTAAATATTAATTATATATTGTTTAATTTAGTAAAATAGTTTTTAAGAGACATGGGGAAACAAGGTTGTATTAAGCTATTTCGTAAAGATCGTTAATCTGAATTAAATCAAGAGCATAACCAGCGGATTTTTTCCTGTCAATTTTAAGGGTGATAAAAATGTTCTTTTGTAAATCTAAATCGCTTATCTTAAAAGGTTACAGAGTTAATTAAAAAATCTTTACGTTTTAAATTCCCATGTTATTCTCATGGAAAAAAGAATACTGTGTTTGTTTGTGTATATTTGTTGATCAAATTTGGCAAACTTATTTATTTCATCATCAAAAACTAACATTTGGTAAAAAAAAAAAAAAAAAAAAACAATTTTAACCTTCCCTGTAGCAGCAAACCAAAGTACTTGTAAAATCAAACGTTATCAAAATTGGGAAAGGATTTGTTTTGTTCAAGGAAATATTTTAGGAAAAACTTAGAATAATTGAAATTTGCTTAGATTGTACGTTATACAGTTTTCAGTGTTATTGTTATTAGGCCTAACCTAACACAGAATAAAAATACAATTCATATTTACTCACAATCATAGCGGATAGAAAACATTAGTTATTGCGTAGATTAAGTAGATTAATGACAGTAAATTCCAACGGTGACTGGTACAGGTAAAGCACCACATGTGGTGCTAACGTTAATTACTGTTAGTCACATGTTGAGTTTGTACGTGTGTGTAGACAATATACGTGCGACACATTGACATTGGTTAATTGTACGTCATTTCTTTCTCAAAAGTAGCCTTTTCTAATATTTTTAAAAATATACAAAATTACAGCTTTACTGATCAAACTAAAAACAGTTATTTTGGAAAGTAAAAAAATAACTTTGTATATGAAAAACGTGTCTTAAGTTCTTAGTAGTTACTTTTCCTACAGTGAATGGTTGAATTACAAATACAGGGAGTAAATTAAGTATCAAAACAAATCTGTTTTTTTTTTTTAAACCAAAATAGAAATATTCTGTTTGTGGCATTGATTGTTAACAAAGGTTCCGCATTTTTTTTTCATAAAAAAATTGTTTAACCCCCCTAACAGGGTTGGGGATAGGAATAATTTTCCCTATTGAGTGGCCCCTCATTTTGTCAAAAGAAACATAATGACGCAAACCCGAGGTAGATATTTCACCCAAGCCAAAATTACGGGTGTTCAAAAATTTGATTTAACCGTATGTGAATAACACAAATTTCACAAATATGGAAACAAATCTGTATTTTTTTTAACCGAAATTGATTAAAAATATTCTGTTTGTGAAATTGATTGTTCACAAAAGTTCTGCACTTTTTTACATCAAAAATATTTGTCAAACCCCCGTAACAGGGTAGGGGATGGTGGTGACTGGAACGTTTGGGGTGCAATGACTTGAAATAAAAACACCATTTGGGGAATTAAATAAAACCCGGCCGACTACATGGTTACGGTTTGCTGGAATCTTGAGGACTGGTCAGCAAGGAAACTTTTGGAACGGCGGTTAAACGTGGAGGGAAAAGTGGCGTGATGGGTTGTAGCCAATCCGGGAGCTTTATTGAAATCATACGATATGACGTCACAGTCGCCTGATCGCAGTCAGGACACAAATGCAAAACATATTGCCAACTCTTTATAACAGAAATCTAAATATCGTAAAAATGGCAAAATTATGGTACATTATTATTGTATACACTACATTTCCTCCCCTTTAAGTTTAAAATATTTTTTCTTAAAATACGCAATCTTTATCAACACATCAAACCAATTAAATAATCATTAAATAACCTAAAACAAAAACACTTTTATAAAACAATATTGTATGATTCAATCAAATAAGACAAAACAATAAACATTAAAACAAGCAACCTTGATAAAATTGGAAACAAAACACAGAAATAAATATTTACAAATTCAACCTTTCAGGAGGTTTTATTTCTCTGGCAGATCGCCTCAATGGCGATGCTTGTTTTGGTCGATCAGCTGATCGTACAGGTGATGTAAAGGTCACGTCCGGTGGAGTAAGCGATGAGCGCGTACTACTACGTCCTGGAGTACGAGGTATACTCGGCATTTCCGGTCTCATGGGTGAAGCCCGACCAGCTGACTGAGCATTGTTACCTACATCCTGGTCAAACATATGTTCAGCTGGAGGCAACACTACCTCTCTAGTAATATCATTCTGTTGATCATTTAAATTTACATTAGTGTTTAACCCTACCAGCTGGTCAATATGGCGCTTCCATACAATACCTGAGTCTAATTTTACTAAATAAGATACAGGACTTAACACTTTAACACGTTCACTGCTAATGACGCACTTGTGCGTCATAAGTATATTAGCAGATATATAATACATGATGTATATAATTACATAATATATTTTAATCCACAATTTATAGTATAAAATTTATTTAATTAAAGATATATTGTCACTCAATTAACATGATCATGTTAATTTTTATGTTTTTAAGCCATTTATAAAAGTATTACATATCATTAGCAGTGAATGTGTTAATCACTACACCTTGTGTCCATTTATTTCTTCCCCTGTAATCACGAACTAAAACAGGCTGTCCTAATGACAGTTCTCTAGTTTGACTGCCCCCTTTGTTTACAATTTGTTTGTTTTGGTTTGACAAAACCGTTTTACTAACAGAAGGACGTATCAAATCTAAAGTAGTTCGCAATACTCTACCGAACATTAGTTTGGCTGGAGTTTCATTGGTTGTATTATGTACTGCATTTCGATATGCCAACAAAAATCTACTTAAAGCTAAGTCTGGATTTTCATTTGAAAACAAAGCCCCTCTTATTCTTTTCTTTACTGTTTTTACAGCATTTTCCGCCTGGCCATTACTAGCGGGAAAGTAAGGTGGTGTCAGCGTATGCCTAACCCCATTAGCTTTAAGAAACTTGCTAAATTCACAGGATGTGAAAGGAGGGCCATTGTCTGTGACACACTGTTCCGGAATTCCAAACCTTGCAAACATAGGTCTTAATTTATTTATGACTACTTTGGCAGACGTGGAACTGACCTCCTCTACTTCTATCCATTTACTATAAGCATCAACTACAACCATATACAACTTTGAATTAATAGGGCCTAAAAAATCTATGTGTAATCGTTGCCACGCTGACTTTGGGTATTCCCATACATGTAAATATGACCTTGACGGGCTTTGACGTTCCATGAGACATTGCGAGCAACTATTGGCAAGTTCTTCTATGTCTTTATCTATTGAAGGCCACCATAGATAAGAACGGGCTAGAGCCTTCATTTTGACTATCCCTAAATGTCCACAATGTAATTCTTGTCCCCTTTTATACATTTTTGGAATGACAACCCGATAACCCCACATTAATATGCCATGCTCAATAGTTAGTTCGCTCCGCCTTATGAAATAAGGTCGTAATTCCTCGTTTACCTCATTAGGCCAGCCATACAAGACATAGCCAAATACCTTACTTAACTCGTGGTCTTTTTGTGTTTCCCTCTTAATAGCAACAAAACTAATTGGAATATCTCCCTCCGCTAAAAATTGCAAATAGGTTCCTACATAAGGATTTTCCTCATACTGATCGTTAACATGTTTGGCTTGCAAAGGTAAGCGAGATAAACAATCTGCAGAAGCATTTCCCTGAGAGGAAACATATTGTATGTCAAAATCATAGCTGGCTAAAAATAAAGCATACCTCTGTAATCTGCTAGCGGCAAAAGCCGGAAGTCCCTTTTTAGGGCCAAAAATTGACAACAATGGTTTGTGGTCTGTTACTAGTGTGAATTTTCTACCAAACAAATACTGATTAAATCTTTTAACAGCAAACACAATAGCTAAAGCTTCTTTGTCTATTACAGAGTAGTTTGATTCGGCTTTAGACAATGTCCTTGACGCAAAACAAATAGGTTTTTCAGATCCATCTGATTGCGTTTGACTTAACACACTTCCGACCCCGTAGGCAGAACTATCAGTAGCTAACCTCAAGGGTAAATTTGGGTCATAATGCGCCAAAATAGGAGCTGACACTAATTTGCTCTTAATTAATTGAAACGCTTTGTCACATGATAAATTCCATTCAAATGGAGTGTCCTTTCTGAGTAAATGATACAGTGGGGATACAATGGTAGACATACTTGGCACAAATTTAGAATAATAATTAACTAAACCTAGAAAAGCTTTTAACTGAGTTACATTGGTAGGCACTGGGGCGTTTACAATAGCTTCAATTTTACTAGGAGATGTGCCTAGTCCTTGTTTACTTAATATGTACCCTAAATACTCAACAGATTTACAGAAAAACTGACATTTATTTTGACTTACTGTTAAACCATGATTCTTTAAAGTTTCACACACTTGAATCAACCTCTCTAGGTGCTGTTTGTCATCAGTTCCTGTTACCAAAATATCGTCTAGGAAGCAAACAACGCCGGGAATGTGAGCTAAAATGCGTTCCATTATACTCTGAAATATTCCCGGGGCGAATGCTACACCATATGGAACGCGGTTGTAAATATACAATCCTTTCGATGTACTTATTGTACAATACTTCTTTGATTCCTCGTCTAACTTTACCTGAGTGTAAGCCTGAGAAAGATCGATTTTTGAAAATGTCTCCCCTTTTTGTAAATTATTAAAAATGTCCTCAATCCTTGGAATTGGGTGGCGATTGACTACTAAATAGGGGTTGAGCGTTACTTTAAAATCGCCACATATTCTTATACTTCCGTCCTTTTTCAAAATAGGCACAATAGGAGTTCCCCATTCACTATTGCTAACTTGAGTTAAAATCCCATTATTTACTAATCGATCAATCTCAGACTCCACTTTACTTTTGATCGAAAATGGTATAGGTCTGGGTTTGAAAAACTTAGAAATTACATTTTCCTTCAACTCTAATCTAGCTGCATCTCCCTTGTAACAACCTAATGCATCAGTAAATACCTCAGGAAATTTACTGTAGGCTACAGTTTACTGACAATTACAGGTTTGATCTAGCTTTTCAACCGTGTTCAAACTATTTTCTTTAGGGATTTGGATCGATATTTCTAGTTCCCTAATCCAGTCTCTTCCCATTAGAGGATTAGCCCCTTTAGACGCAACATACAAAGTTAACTTTTTATGCTCAGATTCATGCTGTACATTTACGTTAAGTTTTCCTACAGGTTTTATTGGCTGGTTTGTATAGGAGCTCAAAACCAAATTAGTGGGCATTAATTCGAGATCAGAGAAATTATCGTTATAACACTTTTCAGAAATTACTGACACGCATGCTCCACTGTCAACCTCAAATGGCAATACAGTATGTTCTACTTTAAGATTAACCGTGATAGGTTTTATTCTATCCCTCGGTTTAGTTTCCTCGTCATTTATGGAAAATAAGTTAGCTAAATCACTATAATCATCGTCATTGTCATTGACCCCTGTGTTCTCTACATAGTTTTGCTTATACTTATGAGACTTGTTACCAGAGGTAAACTTAGGTGTAAAGTTCTTTTGTCCATCTTTACGCTTATCATTAAATGCAAATTTAGATTGTGACTCACCATTGTTTTTCTTCATCAGACACGCACTTTCTAAATGGCCTTTCCTCTTACAAAAATTGCAAGATAGACTTTTAAAACGGCACTCACTTTTTAAATGACCAGATTTACCACAACAATAGCACTTTACTTCACTTTTTGAGCGCTGCCACGGCTTCCGCTGCTGCTGCTGCTTCGAAGCGACGTTGTGGAGACGACTTCCTCCCCCCGTGTTGTGGTAGGTCAGGGCCGCGGTGTCTCTCGCTGCCAACTCCATCGATGTGGCTATTTGGACCGTCTTCTCGAAGGTGAGATCTTCCTCGCCCAGCAACCTCTTCTTGGTGGCGTCGTCCCTCAACCCACTTACGATCCTGTCCCGAAGATGATCCGGTAGTTTGTCCTTAAACTCGCAGTTGACAGAGAGTTTCTTCAGGTTGACGATGTAATCAGCGACTGATTCATGCTCCAATTGTGTTCGTAGACTAAACTTGTACCTTTCAGCAATAAAAGATGGTTTTGGATGAAGATGTCCCTTAATGATCCGTACAATATCCTCGTAGCTCTTAGTAGCAGGTTTGTCTGGTGTACATAGGTCTTTAAGCAGGTTATAAGTTTTCACTCCGACAACCGTCAAAAGCGTACTAACTTTTTTAGCGTTGGTAATATCGTTACATGTAACAAACAATTCAAAACGCTCGATATATGAGTCCCACGTTTCTTCTGAATTATCAAAAGGACCGATCGCACCGATGAACGACATCTTGAAATTTAATAAAGTTCCAAAGTTATCAATAAGGTTCTCATCAAGCGGCATTAATGTTTCACTCACACGCACTGTTCGAAGTTAACTTGACCGAATTCTTCTGTAAACACACGTACCTTCCTACGGTGCACTAGAAGTTCAATTGTCACTTTTAAAAACACACGTACCTTGCTACGGTGCACTTCGATTGTCACTTAAATCACTTAAAAACTTTTTACGCGTTGAGTCATTTTCGTACCTCGTCGCCACTGGAACGTTTGGGGTGCAATGACTTGAAATAAAAACACCATTTGGGGAATTAAATAAAACCCGGCCGACTACATGGTTACGGTTTGCTGGAATCTTGAGGACTGGTCAGCAAGGAAACTTTTGGAACGGCGGTTAAACGTGGAGGGAAAAGTGGCGTGATGGGTTGTAGCCAATCCGGGAGCTTTATTGAAATCATACGATATGACGTCACAGTCGCCTGATCGCAGTCAGGACACAAATGCAAAACATATTGCCAACTCTTTATAACAGAAATCTAAATATCGTAAAAATGGCAAAATTATGGTACATTATTATTGTATACACTACAGTGACTTATTTCTTTATCCCTATTGAATGACCCCCTCATTTTGAAGGGTTTGTCAAAATAAATACAATGACGCAAACCCGAGGTATATATTTCACCTCTAGCCTAAATGGCGGGTATCCAATAATTTGATTTATGTGAAAAAATACCCATTTTGGAATACCCACCATTTTGGCTAGGGGTGAGATATCCACCTCGGGTTTACATCATTGTGTTTCTTTTGACAAATCCTTCAAAATGAGGGGTCACTCAATAGGGGTTGCTATTTGAAAAAAAATAAGTCACCCCTCAACCCCAAACTCTATTATGGGGGTTAAAACTATTTTTTATGTAAACAATTGCGGAACCTTTGTTAAAATTCAATGCCACAAACGGAATATTTTCATCTATTTCAGGATAAAAAATACAGATTTGTTTCGTTACTTAATTTACACACTGTATATAACCTGGTCAACAAATAGACTAAGTTTGAACCTAGTTTCTTTCAGAATCAAATATCAGTAACATCAGCGAAAACCTTTGTTCATGAAAATTGTACTTTTCATCAAGGAGAGAAATTTATTTTAAACCAAGAAAGGATTTTTTTGAAGTACAAATTCTATTAAAATTTTCTTTGCATGGAGAATATTGTCAAGAATAAGAGGTAGTTCTTCATACAAAGGAACAAGTTTTTACGTACGGTAGGAAGTGCTTTCTTAAAACGGATGAAGTTCTCACAAATGGTAGGAACTTTTGTATGGTAAGGAATGTATGGTAGAAGGTACTTCTATCTTGAAAATAAGAAAGTTCTCTCTATTTAGAAGAAATTACTTCATTTATAGAAGGTTCCCAACAAATGAAAAAAAGCTCTCCAATTTTCTTATGCAGCATTCTCAAATAAAATTATCTAAACACCATATAGACAGCAAGATGTTACCGACCTTGTCCCCGTCGTCATGGGAACTCTCTGTAGTAGTGGAGGACGTTTCTGTATCTTCGCCAACGTTTGCTGCCAGACTGACTGTTTCTCTTGCTGCTACGTTTCTCCCTGAAGAAGACGTAAGACGTTTTCAATTTGCAAATTGTGTTTATTACAGTAAACTAGATAAGCACATTCAATAATCCAGCAATTTCTATTCAATGAATTAACCAGTAAAATTAAATGTTAAATAAAAATACGTAAACATTTCTTTTAAACACTGCAAACGCTTTAACAAGAGCATTTCACCTGGATTTGAATTTTTCTTGGTGACTTTCCGTTTGGACTCTGTGGAAGACGGTGGTTTCGGCGTTTCTGTGGCTGTCGGCACAGGTTTGGCCTGAGACTTGGGTAGAGAACTGCTAACTGGCCTGGTAACAACAACAACAATCACTACGTAGTACACATCTATAACTCCAATACACAATACAATTAACAAAGGATCAGTTAACACTAGGGGTCTGCGGGTCCCCGATTTTTTCGGGTCGGGTCGGGCCAGCGGAAGGCCCGAGAGACCGGGTCGGGTCAGAGATTTGTTCGGGCCAAGATCGGGTCGGGCCAAAAAAAATAATTATTAGGCTATTTTTAAAGTTATAATAAGTAATTTTCAAAGAAACACTCTTATATACATTATTACAGAGGAATTAAAATGTTAAAATTAGAATTAAATATTAAGTTTGATCACGTTTAAGAACAAAGACACAACAGAGCAATTATTGCCTTACTGTCACTAGCCAGAGCCAGTCGTCTACTGACATGACAAAACAAAAGCCGTGACGCAACAGTGCAAAGAAAACGAAGTCAAAAGAAAGACTATTTATCCAGAAATACCAGTTTAATTATTTATTGTTTATTCCATACCTAGTTTAAATTATATTTTAGTATTTTATTTACATAATAAATCATAAACAAAAGAAATATCTGATATAGTGTACAGATCTGTATCTTGTTCTTTTATTTTCCTATTGTCCTTTTTGTCATTCAGTAACAAAACAAAACAACACTTCTGATCGTCTGGTTCGGCATTTTATGGTCACCATTTAATTTTTTTTTTAAGTATCAAGTATCAACAAGTCTACAAAGAAGTTAGGCCTAAATATTTTATAATTTTATGAAAGTTTTCATCAGTAAAATTATTTTTTTCTTAAGTTAGATTGAGTTTCAAAAAAGATATTTCTAAGATCCAATACAATATTTACAAGACACAAACTACCATGAATTAATTTCTTTGGAAATTATCTGTAACAGTTTTATATTTTTGAAGAAAGAAAATATATCTTTTTGTCTCTACTTCCTTGTTTTGTTACTTGTATTTTGTCAGCAATTGGAACAACCGGGTGGTGTAATAGGGGCGGGGGAGGGGGAGGGTCTATGACCTTGAGTGTCCCCGGGCCCGGCTGTGAGAGTGATTCATGGTGTTTTGTTTACATTCTACTACCCTTCCTTCTGAGAAAAAGACCCTACAGTTTCAAAAACATTGACTTACAGTATAAAAACATTGAGTTGTGTTGCTAATTAGGGCACTATATAATGTCTCTGCTGTCTGCTTATGTTGCCAAATTAGCATTTAACTTTCTTTTCTCTTGATTTAATATAATTTTCTATATATTAAGAGTTCCTTTTCGGGTACCTAATAATTGTGATATTGTTTGACTTGAGTTTATGGATTTTTAATTCTTTTCATTTATTAGGTAAAATCAGTTGTTTTAGGATTTTAATCTCTTGCAATACCTATAACTGTGCCTATAACTGTGTATCTATAACTGTGTATGACATGATATGCAATTTTTACAGTCTTTACTATAACTATACCATAAACAATGTGTGTGTGTTATTTATTATTTTAGAGTTTTATAGTAAATTAGTTTACACAATATCTTTTCTTCAATGAGTTCTCCACTTGTCATGTTGCTTAGTCTATTACTATTTTAGGCCCTATAAAAAATAATTCCTATGTAAAGCTGTAGGCCTACTAATGCCAATAATAGATCATTCTTTATTTATGATGATGTAACTAATAATGCTATTGTAAGTGTGAGGTTTTTGTACTTAGGAGGTTAGGAGGCAGGGAATGAATGATTCATATTGCATGGTGGAAACATAGAATTTTTATTTTCTTCTTGCATGCAGTCTTGAAGCCAGTCCACAGGCCCTAAACTTGTGATAAGGTTAATTGATTTGTTTATGATCCATTTATATTAAGTTCCATTACAAACTTGTTGTAATATAGCTGTTTAGATATTTCAACAGTTATGAAAATGGGAAAGAATGGCTTGATAAAAAAAATTATTTTCTTCTTTCTTGCAGTTGAGGCAACTCCTAAGCTGTAAATAAGTTATGAACATGAAATAATATACATAAATACAATCTTTTTCCATATGTTATTTTCAAGTAATATTATAAACACAGATAGGAGTTAAAAAAAGAAAAAAAATCCGGTAATTAATAATTTTTGGCCCGACCCGCTTTGGCCCGAAACCCGAGGACCAAAATTATCGGCCCGACCCGACCCGACCCGAACCAAAAAAGTCTGACCCGCAGACACCTAGTTAACACTCCAAGTTTTGAAACTTAAGTTGAACGACAGACCGATCTCTACCTAAAACATGTTGATTAATTACTAGGAAAAGTCAGTGAATTTTTTCTGCTTTAATTTTTCTACGTTGTTAATAGCAAAAGTAAACCTACAAGAACAGCATATTTTATTAGTCCACTATGATTATGATGGGAACAGAAGTCTATAGGCCTAAATTTATAAATACAATCATTTAAAATATATTTCATCTTTATAGAACAGCTGAGGACAATATAGAAACGCATAAATGATAAAATTGGCTCTAAAATAAGAGATAAGAAAAGGTTGACAACACTAGCGATCAATGTCGCCAACATGAATCACACATAAAACAAGCTTCACATTTTACAATGTAAAGAGAAGTCTACTAGTGTTAGTGTAAGCCTAAGGCTAAACTAAACAGCAATATTGAGAGGTTTCAATGTGGAAACTGTGAGTACTTAAGGAACATCAGACAATTATTAATTATCTGGGTGAGTACTTATACTGAACTACTGAACATTGAAGTGCTCGCCTTCAAATATAAAGGTCGCTGGTTCGATTCCAAGCGAGATAGTTACCGGAGCCAGATGCCATTTTTCACTGAGCTATTAATTAATAATGATTTTTAACAAAAGATTTTTTTACTGTCCTAGGACGCTAGGCACGAGCCCGAAATTGTTTTCCCATTACTTTAGGCTAGACCTAGGGGTTGCGGCATTATCACATAGATAAAGTCCATTGGTGAATTAGCGGGATTAAGTCCTGCGCTCTAACCACTAGACCAGCTCACTTCCCCTAACAACAGATTGAGGTTACATAGTAACAAGACCAGGGTTTCTACCGTTCCCTTGCTAAAAACACTGATAAATGTCACTGGCGTAGAAAACACAATGAAAAATACTCACTTAGAGAAGACGTTGGCCCAGGCAGAGTCCACCGGGTCGCTGAACCTCTTAGACACAACGGTCTTTTCTCTCTTCTTGGACGAGGTAGAGACTGGCTTGACCGAGGTGAACACTGCGGCTACATTGTCTGTCTCAGCTTTCACTGGCTTCTCCTTCATCTAGCACAATGTGAAGTTAGAACAACGGTAACTATTGGTTTTATTACGATAATTTCATTTAAATTTTAAGAACCCAATTTCTTCACAATAAAACGCTTAACACATGCTGTAAATTTTGGTCTAGAGGTGGGGCAAGGTTCTCTAGAACATTAACAACTTAATGTTTTATTCGTTTTTTAGGATTTTTTGTAAGGATAAGTTACCAGGTTTACCTGAATAGTGTTTTGTGTACCTGTTTTGTATACCTGTTTTGTGTTGTTTAAAGTTTTGTCTTTCTTGTGCTAGTTTCCCAATCAGACAAACCTGATATCCACCATTTAGTCCTGAAAACCTCGACTCTTATGCTCTGTGTTACATACTTTTATTAGTTTTTTTTTAACATAATATTTAGAATCCAGGGGCTCACGGATACGAATACAAAATCATCAATCTACTCTCTAAAGTCCTACATTAGGCACATCAAACGTGTTACATATATCAAATGACAGTTAAAAGTTACATTAGCTATTTCACTACACTACCTCATTGTCATGTGTGGTGGGAGGCGAGCTCGGGGCTTTGGTCCACATGGTAGACGATGTGTCAGGCTTGTCAGGGGCTGATGTACTTCCACCACCACTACTGCCGAGGCCCACCCCCGTACCTATGGATCTGTAGGAGACACAACACATGACTGGATGGAACACAACAGATTTAGTACTGATAGTGACAATGATGTACGTAAAAATATTCTCCGTCTTGCTACTCTATGTTTATAAATTTACTCCAGTATCAATGTTGAAACAAGGTGTGTGAGCAACCGAGTGATCAAGCTCCCAGTCAGAAAATCAAACTTGAGCCTAGCTTATACTAATCAAGCATAACCTTTCTGCAAAGATTGCGCAGTCAAAAAATAATCCACCCTTTCTGCGATCACAGGGAACAATAATTATGTTTCTGTGATCACAGAAGACGATGTAGTTGTATTTCTGTGACTGCAGGATATGATCAAGATATCCGCTGGGATTGGGGAAGATGATCTTTCCATGACCGGAGGAGATGATTAGGAATTTTTGCCGATTGTGAAAGACGATGATGAGGTTTTTGTGACTGCAGATGATTAGGAATTTTAGCCGATTGTGAAAGACAATGATGATGTTTTTGTTGCTGTGTGAGATTTACGATTTCTAGACAATCTAGATTTATTAATATTGAACCTAGAAATCTTAAATATCTCTGCACTTAAAGAGTGATTGTAATCTTCTAAACTTAAGCTATCAAAATTTATAACCATAAACATTTTTAATCTCTCTTTCATGTTAAAATGTGGTATAAGACTGAGTTCATCCACAAAATGCTAATTAATAACTACATAGCCTATCAATTATTCTCTAAGTCTGATGTCTTACTTGAGATCAAGTACAGGTTGAACAGTGTTGTCCCTGGACATGGCCATCAGCGCAGACTTGAGCGCTCTGTCAGACTCTAGAAATGCTGCGGCCAGAACACAGACTAGCAGGAACATCTGTACATACAATCAATTTACAGTACGTTGTACAAATTTATACAAATCACATAGATTTTAATGGAAGAAGAATGTAGCCTAGTATGAAGTAAAATGGCATCGTGTAGCTTTGTTACTGACTAAGATCAGCTGTTTCTATTGCCAGGATCAATACTCAAAACGCTAAAAACTTCACTCAGGGTGGGACCAGGGATCTTTAGTTTAATATATTTGTTCTATTAACTGTGTGATAGTGAAAAATTAAAATATCAACAAAATGTCAAAGGCAAATTTACATAATTAGGTAGCTTATGTTACCACAGTATATATCTTAGGTACATCTATCATCGCAAAACATAATTTAAGAAACTCTTACTTTAAAAGCCCCTTTGTACGATACCAGACGTAAAAACACCATAGTTCCAATGAAAAATAAATTTTCATGAAAAAAACCTCTTATGTAGGACTAAAATTTTTAAAGCAACTGAAATTTTTAGGATTTATTCCTCTACATCGCATAGTTCTCAGCGCAATAAAAAATATCATTCAGCTATCGCAGCAGAGATACTGACCATGAACGTGACAGCACAGTAGTACAACAGCGGCTCCCAGGCAGGTCTCGCCAACACGCCAGAACACGTACTGAGCAGGAAGGGTGGCAGTGTGGCCACCAGAGTGTAGTTGGCAGCACTGTCTCCCTCACTAGTCCACACACCCAGTGTACGTTGCACCCTGGCTAGCGTGAAGTCTGGGGTGAAGGCTATGTCCACCTGAGGATCCAAGTCAATTAACTAGACGAATAAACATTTGGTCAAGAATATTTTGTTGGAATAGAAGGCTATTGAAACTAGCTGAGACAAGCGTCTGCAAAGATGCACAGTCAAAAAGTTGACAATTTTGCCTCAAACGAAGACAGTTTTTCTAAGATTATAGGGTAAACAAAGTTGTGCAAGACATCCACGATTTTGCACCTCAGAAGAAGTTTACGATTTCACTGTGAACGCAGATGTTCTAGATTTTACTGTGACGGCAGATGTTCTCAATTTCACCATGATATGTTTGGAGGAGATTAAGCAAAAACAGATTATATTATTACAATTAATTAAAAAAAAAAAACTTTATAACCGCAATTTTGGCCTGAGACTCTAACAATTCTTATTCAACCTGACCCGAATTAGAAATTTCTAGCCCGCAGACTTCAATTACTGAACTGTAATGAAAATTGTGCGAGTTGACAGTCAGAAATGTGTAGTGTGTGTCAATTTGTGTATGATGAGTCCTGGATATCATCAGACAATAATAAAGGTATGAGTGTGTTGCCTAGTGGTTAGTGTCTTGGATTTCGGTGCGGGAGGGATGGGTTCAACGGAACATCCACAAAACTTTTTTCTTGACCTCTTGAAAATGCCACTGGCGTAGAATAAAAGGTGAGTGAAGCTCACAGAAATATTAAAAATAGTTCTTATGCCAGCAAAACTAAAAAATAACCTAACAAAAATAAATTGTAATGTTTTAAACAATTTTAATGAATTCTAGTAATCCTCTTAACATAGTTTGAAAAGACGCCAAAATCCTTCAGTCTAGGCCTACCTTGCGTGTAGAGTTGGGTGGAAGGTTGAAAGCCTCACAGTTCAGTACTCGGAAACCGTAGCCTTCACACGCCAGCCCGCTGATGTGGAAACCTCTCACCGAGATGGGCAAAGCTCCTGTGTTGCGAGCCGTGAATGACCGCTTCACCGTCAGGTTGGGTGCAGGGAACTTGCGCTGCTTCTCTCCTGCGACAAACTCTCCCTCAGCAAACTGTCTCGTGTAGATAAAGCTTAACAATCCATCTAAATTAAATTTAAGTTGGTTACGATTTTACCGTTTTTTTTTGCAAAATACCTGAAACCGTGAACTGATTGAAAGTGTCTGTTCCACAATTATTTCTTCTCGATTACGTGACACTTATGCAACGTCTTTGAGATTGAGGGGAACGTACACGATTTGGTCGCAACCGCGGACAACAATGATGTATTCGCAAAAACCTCATGCCTCCTTGATTGCGGGGGCAACGATAAAGTAACAAGTTTCTGTGGTCATGGTTTAAGATTATATTCATGATGGCATCATGATAAATGCATACTACATAAAATTTATGGATACTAAAACAAAATATTGCTAAATGAACAACCATACAAAACATTTTTGTGATAAGTGTTTTATAATAAATCTCTAAAATCTTTAAAATAGATAATAACCTAAAAATCTACAACCCAACCCATAAAACCAAAACAGAACCGATAAAAATTGCAACCGATACATTACTAATCTAAATATTTGAACACAGTTTGTGTAGCCCTGTGCACTTACTTTCACAGTCTTTTAGATGTTTCTCGGCAAGTTCGAAGAGTAGTGGAGTCGTAGACCCAGGCTTGCGGTTGCCGAACTTGAACTGAGTGTACGCTCCTGCCCCTCTAAGCTGAATTGTCTCCAGCACTGTCAAGTTATTTCTGAAACAAAAACAAAAAAAGGTTAGTGTGTTTAGAGTTATAGCATTGACTATCGGCTACTGAAGCAGACATCCAATCTATATGAACCAGCTGTCTCAAATTTCTTTATTAACAATGAAAGAACATAGTTGTGTGAGCCAGAATACGCCAGTGTCTAAAATTCTATTTTCTACCTTATTTTAAGTTGATGTGTCATAACAGTTGCTAAAGCTCACAATAAGTCATTCTACTAGTTTGACTTGGTTAAACAGTTTGTGTATTCGAGGGTGATTAGTAATTAAGATCAACACAATCCGTCAGTGGCTCACATCAACTATGACGATTTTGGAAGAACAAGAAGTGGCGACAACTTTAACTTGGGGATGGAATGTCTAGTTGTATCGATAGTCAAAGGTTATTCAAGGTTCAAGGGTTTACAAGTGTAGACGAGGAGTCGTCTACTCTAGAGAGGTTAAATTCTCTCTGTCTACCCTTGTAAAAGACCTCCGGGAGACGAAATATTAAAAGTTTTATGTTATATACCTGTACTTCTTCTATGGTAAGCCACCTGCTATATCTTCTACAACTCAAAGACCTACCGCCTTTCCTTGAACAAAACTTACAGTTAAAATAGTTTATATTTACCTGAGCAGCAACGTAGCACTGTAGAGATGAGGCCCCGCAGGTGTGAACCCCACTTTGACACTAGTGTTGGTGGCGGGGGGCAGCAGGAACACCCAAGAGTCTCTATGTGCCCCCGCCGTCACTCTGTACTGGGACTGACTTGTGTCTATGACAAACTTCCCGGCCCCCGTCTGCGCTCCCGCTACTGGTTCTGGTCTCAGCCTGTACACGAATTATGTTTTAGATGTAACAGATAAGTCTTATAGCTAGTAAAAATATGGTTTTACTTACTATAGAAAAATCACAGAACAGATAAACTACATGGAAGACTTTCCCGATTTTTCTGTGACAGCGGAAGAATTTAATGATTTCACCATAACCGCAGAGTATGTCCTCAATTTCTCTGAGAACGCAGAAGATACGCAACATATTCGCTGTGACCGCTGAAGATGTTTCCGGGTTCACCGTGACCATAGAAGATTTTTTCGGGTTCACTGTGGTTGCGTGAGATTATGTACCATATTTGCTGTTTTGCACTAAATCAAATTTAACTAGGCCTAATTAATATTTTTATATCAACACTTTCTAAAGGACTCCGATTCAAGCCCGACCCGACTCTAACTAAAAAGTCTTACCTGCAGACCCCTAACTAACTTCCGGAAAGTTTAATGAGTTAAACGTAAACAAACCTTTCACAACACAATATTTTATATTTTGCACTACAAGGATACTTCAGTTAAAGTTACGCCGCTTACCTCTCGGGCAGATTGTCCAACAGTTTGGCAGCGCTGGGGTAGTGATGGTCCATGACTAGCTGTACGTAGAGAGCGTGTTGAGTGCCGGGGTTGCTGATGTACAGGGTGTGATGTGTCGTGTTGTCAACCTGAGTGAGAGGGTAGACCAGGTCCTTGGCCAGTCTGGGCCAGCTAAGAGCCACTCTGACAGCAAACATGTGCTCTCTCACCTGCACACATGGAAAGTGTCAGAAAACATTAAAATACAAAGCTTAAACTTCAAATCGGAATAAGAGACGACAGTGTAAAAATTATCGCACAATGAGAAAGAGGTCTGCGAAAAGACAGAGCAGTATAGAAAAAACTACAGCACACACACCGAATTGCTATTGCAGAAAGCGTCTACGAGGATTGCCTTATCGAAAGTTTATGATTTTGCTGCAAACGCAGAGTCGATAATGATGACTCCGTGGCTGCAGGAGTTAACTATTATTTAAGCATTTAGCGAACACAGAAGACAATTATGGTGTCTTCAGGCAGGACCGTTGAAGACCTTGATTTTCTAGCAAACACAAAAGACGATAATGATGACTAAGCCGCATGAGGTATTCACAAGGTGAACACACAACCCTGGTCGTTGTTTGCCAGTCTACAATAGTGTCTTCTAAATCGAGGGAGATGTTCACTATGTCATTGATTAATTAACCTCCTTTTCTACAAAAGTTTATCTCGAATACTCTCTTTTCTCAATTTGTCAAAAGTACTTGCAACAAATAATTTGTAGCTTCAATAAATATGTCACTCGTGGCATTTTTTAACAGGTGTAACTTAAAGAAAAATAGACAAAACCTATAAATTGCTATTATAAAAGTTCTATCTCAAATTCAAATCTAGACCAAATTTTGACAATACAGAAGCAATCAATCAGAGCTATGTTAAAAATGAACAAAGATGATTCTGCAAAAGAACACTTTAAACGTCTAAGGATCCTCACTGTTTATGGTTTGTATGTTCTTGAATGTATTTTGTTTGTCAAAAACTAAAATTTCAATCCACCAATTAAAGAAAACAATCTTAACTACAATACACGTAACAAAAATAAGTTTGTATGTAATTGGAAAACATATTAGAGCTCTCAAAAAAAGACTGTCAATGCAGGACATGAATTTTAAAAATTTATTGCTTTGAAAATTAAAACAGAACAAAAACCCAACATTTAAAAAAAACGTCTCAAGGAATATTTAATGGACCTGTCCTTATACTCTTTAGATGAATTGAAAATGGCTTTATCTTTAAGCATTAGTTTTAATTTATTTGACAGTATTCAAGTACAATCATGTATACTATGAATAAAGATTCTTGACTATGACAATCACTATGATAATCACATTTAAAGGAACTATTTGAGTGTTTTTAACACATTTCTGAAGTCAAAATGACTTTAAGGGCTATGAACACAGTTTGTTAACCCACACCATCCCAGTACAGATGGGAAACCTGAGCATTCCAAACGCACACAACATACCTCGGTCGTGTCCAGTCGCAGAGTCATGTTGAGTAGACGAGACGACAGATTGTGATAGTGGTCATATCTCGCCACCAACAGTCCCAGGTCATAGTCAGGACAATGAGCTGGCAACTCCAAGGTGTCTGCCCATCTGGTGGAACCTTCAAACAACAACAGTTGATCATTAAATGTCCTTGAAATAACATTATTTTCAGATTTTCCAAAGACCAATAGCAAATACTGTACAACCAAGAGATGAATGAAAAACAGCAGTGGTTGGGAGTAAACTAATTTATTAATTTTATTCACAGAGTTTTTAAAATTCATACTGACGTTGGTTTCCAAATGTTAATCAAATTGGACTTTTCCAATGTGTCTTTTCTGGAGGTGGATCAACTCTTACCGTTAAGTAGACGGGAGGAGTAGATATATGAAATACCATAATGTTCCATAAACCAGAGGAATTCAACAAACTTTATTTATATTACAAAGAAAAAGAAATTAGGATTGCCGATTTTACGTGTGGTCATTTTTACTTTCACTAGTATATGGTAAAAGTTTTGTTATCAACTTTTGAATTCTGGGACGAAATATCCGTTTTGGGTCTCCCTGAACCTAAAACAGTGGTATTTTAAGTGATGTCTGTGAAAAAAAATCCCAAAACCCTCTTGCACTCTCTGTTCAAATCAAATCGTTTATTAAGCCAGAATTAACAAGATATTGTACAATTTGTATTGGCTAAGTCATCATCTGTTACATCCTTACCTGTAGTATTGTGCGTAGTTGCGAGGTAGTTGTCCTCAACCGACATCACCCTGGTGTCAAAACTAAGCGTGCCGATGTCAGTGGTCGTGGCGGGGGGCAGTAGCGGGGGTGAGGCGGGGGTAAAACTCAGACGGGGGTCTGCCCCACTTACCCCAGTCACTGCCATAGCCACGGAGAACAGCGACTGAACTCTCAGTGTCTCGGAGCACACTTTACCCTGCCATGGCAGAAAAGGAGGTTAGTGTATAACTGAGCTTAATGCAAGAAAGTAATGGAACTCCTTTAGCGATTTATAAACCACAATAACAAGAATTTATAATTACAATTTATTATGATGAATAGGAATCTGCCTAGGCTGGAAAGGAAATGCATTTTCGTTTTCATATTTGTTAAGAGAATAAATATGGATGCTACAATGGTCAAACACTGTTCCCATGTATCACCATAAAATTATTCACAAAAGATGTAAGGGAATAGAATTGTCTAAAAGTTTGCTTACAGAAGGTATTTGAGTGAGGAATTATTCCATAGCTTGTTTCAGGAAGGTGTCAGAGAAATTTATTGTCCAAAAGCCTATTTAGGGAAGGTATTTGGGGAAAAAACCACCTTAAAAGCTTTCTTACATTTGGTATTTAAGTAAGGAACTGTCCAAAACCTTGGGGAAGATGACGGAGAAAGGATGATCCAAATGCTTGTTCGGAAACTATTTTTTGGGATAAGGAAAGTTCAAAATATTTTTTCAGGGAAGGTGTGTGTAACACAAATTGTCGAAAAACTTACCAGATAACAACAGTATATGATGTGGGTTTTTAAAAACAAAATTAATCTAACTAAATAACATAATTACCGGGAAACAATCGTTGAATACGATAGGATCCGGAGTGACTTTGAGACTGCCGTGTTCCACTCGCATGTGTGTGGGTATCTGAATGGTCTCGTACTCTGTGTGTACAGTGACGTGTGCTTGAGACTCTCCGACCTGTGCTGCTTGTACCAGGACTCTCAGTACTACATAGTGTCCAGGACTCACCACTACCTGCTGACGAGAGCAAAAAAAAACAAAAATTTATAATCTAAAAAAAAAAATTGATAGTTTGATTAATTAAACACAACTGGCAACAGATCAAGTTCTGTTCAAGGAAAAGCTCTAGGCTAGGATTTTGAACTGTTAGAGAAGCAGCTAGGTTACCTTGAAGTGTAGGTAGTCGAACATTCAGTAGAGACACTGAACACACAATATTTCATCCCCTAGGAGACTTTAGTTTACCATTTAGATCAAAATACCTTAATTAGTGATATATCGGATTTGAACTAAAGACATCGGTGACCGAAGTCCTGCACTCTACCACTAGACAAACTCCTTCCGGAAACATAGAGATTGGCGCTATTTCTAGTGGCACACTAATTTTTTAACATATACGTTTGCCTTAACGCTATAGATATATTCGTGGATTTACAAATTGGTAACTGTTAGGATCACAAATTCCTTAAATTAGAGATAAAAATGCTCTACACCAGATTCCTGAGACGTTTTTTCCAGAATATTTGTAGGATATGGGTTTTGTAGGGTAGGCCTACTTACGTTATGAATAGAAGGCATACCTCAGGGATCAGTCATAGGACCCATATTTTTATTTAGTCAAATTACAGCCTGTACTACAAAGATTCTGTTTTACAACCCCAACACTTTACATCACAGATGTGTACCTTGTCCGTGAGGTTGTGCAGCGTGTGGTCGAGCTGCGATAGGAAAGACGTAACGTTGCCGCTGTGGACTGCCACTACGTCGACAGTTGTGGACGGGAGACTGGTTTCCCACGACAGTAGCGTCACGGGCACCGGGTTCTCATTGACTAGAGCAAACAACACTTGCTTTTCCGTCCCACTGCCGACAGTGCCCAGCTCCAGCTCGGAGTCGTTCCTTCGCGAGATCACCTGAAAAATTGAGAAAATTGACTCTCACAACTGTTCTTGAATGTTGAAATCAGTTGAAGATAAGAGACACCGAGTGTTATGATGAAAGAATGGTTAACTTACCTGAGAAAAGAATTCAAGGCGGTTGAAAGCACACAAAAAGTTTACGACTGATTATTGTGCTTTAAGTGCCTCAGAAACATCTCGGAAAAGTTAGCTGTGTATCCATTCCTACTTATTGTGTCGTATTATGCATAGTCAGTTATCAATTAAAAAATTGAACCCCTATAATAACTATTTTGTAATCACATTGCCGAGAGTCTGGTTTTTATTACTGAAAGAATATTTAGTTTACAATACAGTATACATCCAACGTTCAAGAGTCGGTGTTACAAGATTCAAGATTCAAAGAGTCTTTATTCACACAGTACAAATTTTCGTACATGAATAGTGTCTATTGTTACTTACTACCTAAATTATCAATAAGAAACTGTAGTGTTATCGCAAGTTAAATTAAAATATAGTTCAATAAGACAAATACTTTATTAGGTAGTTTTTACAATAAAATCAAGATCCAGAATGTTTACCAACAAAAACTAAACAAATAATATTCTAACACCATATGTTAATAAACACATATGAATAACAACACATCTCCCCTTTAAAGATCGAACCTCCGGGTAGGTTTGAATTGTCTTGTTGATCTTATTAAATTCGCTAAAGGTTTTGTCTGCGATTTCCTTGCAGGATGATCGAAAGGTTCTGATCTTCTGAGGTGTTCTGAAGGACTGGTCTGCAGTGCTGGTTGAGAGTGGTCTGAAGGCATAGTAGAGCTAAATTTTTGCAGTGATCTTCTGTTCCTCCGCAAACAACCATCTTGCGTTTGAATTATATAGGATCGAGGTGCAGGATGTTTGTTTAATATAGTTCCTTCTTGATTCCTGTCCTTTATATGGACTTGAGCTCCATCAGGTAGAGTAGGCAATTCTTTGACTCCATGTCTTTTGTCAAAATAAATCTTTTGACGATCAATTCTTGCTTCTTCAGATAGGGTCTTAGTTGATCAGACATTATTGGAACATAAGTGCGGATCCTTCTCCCGAAAAGTAATTCCGCTGGACTTTTCCCATTTTCTAGAGGGGTTGCTCTTAACATAAGTAGCATTTTGTAGGGATCATCACTTTTTTCTAAGTGGTACTTAAAGTTTTTTACTTGCGCTTCGATGAAGCCGTTGCTTTGTGGAAATTTTGGGCTTGATGTAATCAATTTAAATCCATAATCACGACCAAGTTGTTTGAATTGACAGCAGTCAAATTGAGAACCACAGTCTGCTCTCACTGTCTCAGGTACACCATGACGTGCGAAGATGGACTTTGTATATGTTACTATAGTGCCCATTTTTAAGTCATTTAGTCTAGCAATTTCCATAAACCTAGAATAAAAGTCTGAGATTAAGAGATACCAGTGACCTTTGCACTTCAGCAAATCGGCACCCACTATTTGCCAAGGTCTGTCCGGATAAGGGGTTGGTATCAGCGGCTCTGCTCTCGTAGCGCGATTTTCTGCACATATCTTGCAATTTTCTATTAGTTCTTTGATTTGTTGAGAAAGACGAGGCCACCACACAGTCAATTTTGCAAAAGATCTACACTTTGTTATGCCTTGATGTCCTTCATGAATACTTCTTAGTACATTAGCTCTTAGAGAATTTGGTATTATAATACGACTTCCAAAGAGAAGTATACCATTTTGCTCATTTTGCTCACTTATATCTTCTCTATGATACCAGTAGGGCAATACATCCTCTGGAATCTTAGATTTTTCTGGCCAACCTTTCACACAATACTGTGACACATGCTTTAGAGTTTCATCTTTCATAGTTTCTTGATTTATTTCTCGCAACTTTTCATCCGAAACAGATGGTAGGGTAGTGTCAATATTTTGTATATAAGCAAGGATTTCCTCTGTAAGTTCCCATTCCTCTTCAGAGTTCTCTGTGTCTCGAGACAGTGCATCAGCCAAAATCAACTGTTTACCGGGCGTGTAGGTAATATCATATGTATATCTCATCAGTCGGGGTCGTATTCTCTGAAGCCTGGGAGTAATATTGTCCAAGTCCTTTATCTTGAATATGGAGAGCAAGGGCTTATGGTCTGTCTCAATATGCAAATGCAGCCCTAAAATGAGGTGTTCAAATCGTTCACACCCCCATGCAATCGCTAGAGCTTCTTTTTCTATTTGAGCCCAATTACGTTCGGCTGATGTCAAACTTCTCGAAGCATAGGCCACAGGACGTTTAGTTCCATCTTCTTGAAGCTGAAGTAGTGCAACTCCAATACCATATGACGAGGAATCCGCTGAGAGGAAGGTTTCTTTAGAAATGCTGTATAAAGCGAGACACGGTTCGGACATCAATGACAGTTTAATCTTTTCCAAAGCTTCGTCTTGATCAGGCCCCCAAACAAATTCTGTATTTCTTTGCAGTAAAGCATGTAGTGGATGAACTATGGTCGACAAATTATGAATAAACTTGGCTACGTAATTGACAACACCTAGAATTCTCCTTAGTTCTTTAACATTAGTTGGCGTCTTGAGTTTTTGGATAGCCTCAACACGAGAGGGATCTGGCTTAATACCATTTTTAGTTACAAGATGACCTAGTAAACTGATGCTTTCATGCCGAAACACACATTTTGATCTATTAAGTGTCCAGCCCTTTTCCTGGAGCTTACACAAAACACTATGCAAATTTTTGTCGTGTTCTTCCATATCTTTCCCGTATATAGTTATGTCATCGAAATGGCAAACAACACCTTGAAGCCCTTCAAGTGATTCAGAAATTTGACGCTGGAATACTTCTGAACCAGTGGAAATCCCGAAAGGAAGTCGTAAAAATCTGAACCTTCCAAAAGGTGTGATGAAAGTAGTCAAATATGAAGCTTCTTCTGTTATGGGTATTTGCCAATAACCCGAGTTAGCATCTAGTTTCGAGAACACCTTAGCACCATCTAATTGTCCCAGAGTGTAGTCTACAGAAGGCACAGGATATAGTTCTCGTTTAACACTCTCATTAAGTTTAGTAAAATCCACGCAGAGTCTTATTGAATTGTCCTTTTTAGGGACAATGACAAGAGGTGAACACCAGTCAGTCGGAATGTCTACTCTCACGATAACACCTTTATCCAACATTGCATCCAGTTCTTTTTTTACAGCATCTTTATAGGGTAGGGGAACACGCCTTGGAACTTTGAGAGAGTACGGTTCAGCGTTTGGCTTTAATTTTATATTATAATGAGCTTTTGTATCACCAAGACCGCTGAAAAGTTCAGGGTATGATGTAAAGGGATCAAATGAACCAGTTGAGTTGACTAGAAACATCCTTTTAACTAGACCCAATTTTTCACTAACTTCGTTGCTCAAAAGGGTTCTATCAGCACCAGATATTACATAAAACTGAGACTTACAATATTGATTCTTGTACTGGATTGTACCCTCGAATACGCCTAAGATATTAAGGACAGATCCGTTAGGCCCAATTAAAACTTTGTTACTTGAATTTAGTGGGTACATAAAAAATTTCAACTTATAAAGTGATTGGGGCAAAACACAAACGTCAGCTCCAGTGTCTATCTTAGCTTGAATACATACTCCATTTAGTTTAACTTCAGCTGACCATTTTGCTTTAGGATTCTTTTGAGGATTAATAGACCCCACAAATTTGTCATTCTTAATAACTTCATCTTGAAGAGGATTTGAATTTATTTCCTTGACATTTTTGAACTGGCAACATTTAGCAAAATGGCATTCCTGTTACAGTTTCGACAGAAAATATTCCGGGCAGGACATTTTGGTCGTTCATGCTGAGCGTTACCACACCACTGGCATTGATTGTAGTATTTGTTACTGGACGAATTGGAATCAACTGGAGGTTTCTGAGCAAATTTAGTGCCCCAAGTCCTTGAAGTGACTTTATCTGCAGTTAGTGCATGTTCAGAAGACATGGACCTCATTAATGATTGTTGCATTTTAACCGATTCGGCTTGCTTAACATTTGAGACAGCAGAATTAAGTGTTAGATCTGCATTCATTTGTAGTTTTTCAGATAAACTTTTGTCTCTAATCGCTACAACAAGTTGATCTCGTATAGCCTCATCTTTATAAGAAGCAGGAAAATCGCATCTAGAAGCCATCTCATGAAGATCATGAATCAAACTTTCAACACGCTCTTCCTCATGTTGAACCCTAGTATGAAACATGTACCTCTCATAGATTACATTCTTAGAAGGAGCAAAATATGTATCAAATTTTGTTAAAACAGTCTTGAAACTTTTACTTTCCTCAGATGTCAAATTAAATGATTCAAATATGCTTTCGGCCTTTTCGCCCATCATATATAGTAAGGTGTTTACCTGATATGGTTCTTCTTCATTGGTGAGCCCAGATACCGCATGAAAGCGCAAGAAACGGGTTTTCCATTTAGACCAGTTTTCTCCTTTAAAATCAAAATGTTCTGGGGAAGGAACACTAAAACCTTTCATCTTTATGTACTGTATTGCTAAAACAATAAAAAACCCGCTGCCACCATGTAGTGTTATCGCAAGTTAAATTAAAATATAGTTCAATAAGACAAATACTTTATTAGGTAGTTTTTACAATAAAATCAAGATCCAGAATGTTTACCAACAAAAACTAAACAAATAATATTCTAACACCATATGTTAATAAACACATATGAATAACAACACAGAAACATTTAAACAAAATACTATAGGCTACATTATTTTAAATTTAAATTACTATAATCTTCTATTTTGTAAGGTGCAAGGTCAAGTAAGAATGCCTTCAGTTTTTTCATAAATTTAGATTTGTCTTTTTCGTTTTTTAAAAAACTAGGATGTTTTCTAAAAAAATAGTTTCCAATATAAGAAGGTTTATTTTTAAAAAGTTCCAGTCTTGGTTTTTCTTTAGCTAAATAATTTTTACCCCTTGTATTATAATTATGCACAGGCAATTCTTGAGTCTCAGCAATATTTAAAAAATATTTAATTGTTTCAAAAATATATAAGGCGTGAACTGTAAAAATGCCCATCTTTTTAAAATAAGATTTGACGGACTGGTTATATTTTAATTTATGTATTATCCTGATTGCTTTTTTTGTATTTTCAAAATCTTTTTTAAATTCTTTTTCTTTGTCCCACCATAAATACTAATTCCATAGTTAATATGTGATTCAATATGAGCATGATATATCATTTTAAGGACTGATCCTTCACAGAGATATGACATTGTTCTTAGGACGAATTCTCAATTCTTAGGTATTGAGAATCAACACTCTAGTTTTGAATGGAGGAAGATGTAGCACAAAACTATATCTTCTCGCATAAGATTATCCAACAGAATAAGTTAAAACCACTGGGCGTTGTCACATAGACAATTTACCATGTTTTAAACTGGGCCTCCCTGGAAGAAAAACGCATTTAATACTTGACGAGTAACATCCCAATACAAAGGTTAACACTTAACTTAAACGAAACATATATTAGTATCTACGATTTTAAGCACCTACCTTGACCAGTCTGCCGTCATAGCACAGCAAGGGCACGGCCAACGTAGACACATTAGTGACCACAGCGATGGTGGTGTCTAGCGTCAAATGTGGAGATATATGCGGAGATATGTCGAACAATGGAGCAGTCTCTGTGGGCTGTAGAATACGAGGCTTGAACTTGCTCAACTGTAAGAAATAAATTTTTAGTCAGTTTAGGGAAGAGTTTTCTTTCAGCTTTATTCTTTTTGAGTCATCGGTCAAATCTATCAGAAAAACCGGGTACAAAGGAAAACTTGGGTTTGATTTTTAGAAAATTTGTATCTTATGTATAAAGTTAGTTAATTAAAGGTTAATACAAAATTGTTTCGATAGAAACTCTAGGAGAAGTATTGGAACCTTCATATTTGCTTTACTAAGATAGGGCTACGTGAGATTTGTCATAAAAGCAATTAAGTATAACCATAAATAAAACCATTTAGTAGATTTCTCATCCTTATGGAACAGCTGAAGCAAATTTTACTGTCAATTCTGTACAGAGGTCATGTTTTGATTACAATAATTTCTTTCTTGTTATTTCAGTCATTTAAAACTTTGTTTAACCAAATAATACGATCTAATCATGAAAAATAACTCGACCCTAGTTAAGCAAACAATAAAGCACAAATCAAGAAATTAACCCTAAAATAATAGAAACAAAATTTCGTTGACACTAGCGCCCAATGTACATGAACTAGACACAAAAAACGCTTCAAAATTTTCAACGGAATGAGAAGTCTACTTGTGTTGGTTAGTCTATGGTATAACCTACGGTCGGATCATATTACAAAACCCAAAACGTTGTGAAGAGTTTTTACATTGTTATGAAAACGTCTGCAGAATCTGCTGAATGAAAACTCAACATCACCAAAAATGAACAAACAGTATCACATCCATACTTTTAAATACACGACAATCTTACCTGAAAATAAGCCGCGGCCTCACTGGACAGGCTAACCTCTGTGACAGCTACTGGGAGTTTGAAATTATTTGTCAGGTGAAATGTACGGGGAGGGATGTTGTCCGAGTCTGTACGGAACCTCGTCACCTGACTGTCGTAACTCAGTCCTCCGTCCAACACCGTAGCCGTGTACGGGATCACTAGTTTCTGATTGCTCTGTTTGCTTTTCACTACTATCCTACCAGATGTGTGACCCGTTTCCAGCGCCATTCCCCCTGTAACATGGACATGTGATCTTTGTTTTACAATATCAATTATCAATTATTTACAATGGGGACGCCACTATGTGCGTATTTTAACCCAAATATGAGTGTAGGATAAGTGGATGAATATTAATAGAATCACAGATAATGGTTCCAAATTAATACGATCATTTAATGTATATAACATTGTAAAATTATAAGTTCAAGGTAACAATGAGCTGTGATCTCACTATGCTAAAACACAGCAAAACTAACTTATACCATTGACTATTCTTATACATAAAAAAATTTCTGTTAACATTTAGATTACTAAACAGCTGAAACAGAAACAGCTGATTTAAAATTAAAAAATTGATAGTAAAGAAACACTAGTGTATGTAGTGGACAAATGGAGAACTTATTGGGAGCAAGGGAAAGTAAATCTAGAGCAAAAGAAAATTGGCTAATCGTTAATAGTGCTTTAAGTCAGAGCAATGGGAAATAGTTATTACTTTGTCAGCTCCCATTAAAAATATCTACTTTCTGTTCGGAGTGGTGAAATTTTTTTTCGGCATTCCAATTTAAAATTGTTTAACATCGGCTACTTACAATCAAACGTCAACTGTGCCACATCTGTTGGTTCGTCCGACTCTGCTGGTACTTTGACAGGTAGGAAATCTATCCTGAGAGCTTTGGAGACGGGTGTGCTGATCACGTTCTGGAATAACACAAAAGGTTAAATATTGAAAACAGTACTAGATTGTAAGTAAACAGGTTAGGCATTTATCTATCTACCCTTAAAACCATTGGAGCCAATTATTTAAAATCTTTTTGAGATGTTGTTACCCCCTTGAATGGGCATTGTGGAGTAGGTTCAAGAAGCCCAGACTTAAATAAACAATTAAGATGTCTACTTATTTCATCGGATAATCTAAGTTTTTCACCACAATCCAGTTTGTTTAGCCTTATACTCAATATCTTTTATCTGGCCTAATTTGTAGTACGGTTAGATCAAGATCTCGATTTTAGCAGGACTGAGGTGAAATACAGACAAAAAGTGGGCGTAAACTTGTATCTGGGTTGGAAGATGAAGTAATGGAGATTGGTACAAAATTATGAAAAAAAGCGTTCTGCAGGATTTGTAAGCGGATCTTTTTCCTCACAATCTAAAAGTCAAAATTTTTCCGCAATTACATGACAAATTCAAGATTTTCCCAAGATTGCAGGAGACATAGATAATACCCCCTTAACCGCAGAAGATGTTTACAATTTTGCCCAATTACAGTAGACGTTTAAGATTTCTTCACACAAACATGAGACGTTTTAACGTTGCTGTAATTGCGGACGATAAAAGACAGTATTATAAAAGCCACTTTGTAGTGTAACAATTGATATTTTAAGAAATCAATACTTTCAAGAGCAATCAGAATTTGGTCTGAGATCAACATTTTTTCACAGACACAGCCTGTAATTGCAGCATTTCGTTGGTAGACTTAGGGAAAAATTCATATATATGAATTTTTAAGAGTTGGCTGTCATAGCTTATTTTTGGAGATCGGTTGTAGTCGCTAAGAACATTTGAAATACCCTACATAATAGCAAACAAAGTATCAAAACGAACCTGTATTTTGATAGGTTTCTTCCATGAGTTGTGTAGCCACAGTTTGATAGTGGTGGGAGGGTCGTTGCTGCCTCCGATGCCAAAGTCTATCACATCCTCGGGACTATAGAGTCCGCAGATCGGGCCGACCTCCACCTCCAGAGGGACCACCAGCACCTCCTCACTGTTGTTAACCTTTAACCTGTGACAAACAATAATGTTTAATGTTATCTGTGCGATTAAGGATGGTTTCCCTTGCTGACAAATACAACTGCAGGGTTTTAAATGCCGTTTGTGTTTGCTAGTGACTGTGTTTCAATTTATTAAATGTCTTCAAATTTATCGTCTGTGGGCCAACAACTAACCTTAACCGATTAGTTAACAATATAACTGATAAAACAAATCATGCAGTTTATTTTAAATTACTATTATAGCAACGGTAACAAGTAATATCAACACTTTGTCTAGGGAAGGGAGAAATAGGTAACATATATAAATTATTGTCCAAATACGAACCACTCCATATCCGATCCGAACTTCTCAATATCCGATAAGCGCCAGAACCGAGCCTTAACTATCCAACCCATATCCAATTTTAAATTTCACTCTTTACATCCCTACTATGAACAAAAACGTCTCTTTTGTGACCAACTTGACAAGGCGCTCACCTAATATAGGCCGTGTGGTTTTTCTGTGCTCGAGCGTGGAACCTGACCCGAATGATGGGTTTGGTGAGGAACGCAGGAATCTCCCACAGATGTTTCGGGCCCTCCAGCTGTCCTGAGGGGAGCTCCAAGTGAAACTCACCACCACTGCTGTACACCTCTACCAGCTGTTGAGAGAAACATGTGTTAACTAAAAGTTTTAATGAAAATAAACTATAGTATATCTATAATTTATTTTGCCCGAATAGTCTGTTTATTGTAAATTGCAAAACTTGCAAAACTGTTTTCCTACCACTGCATATAAATGATCACATTGCCACAATTGTAGACAGTACGCAAAATAGCTAATTTCTGCTTTATTGAATCCCACTCGCTAAATTAACTAATTTCACTGCTTGGATTTGTAGAAAAAACATCTGGTAAGCAAATAACACAACCTAAAAATTGAATAAAACATATTCTAAATGGGAATAAATTAACTCAAACTTAAATATTAATGTTGTACAGAAAAACTTGTTTAAAAGGGGGACAATAAAAAACCTTCTATTAATTATAAAGGACATAAAAATAACCTAATATTTATCGATTAAGTAATGTACTTTTTTCCAGAATTTCCACTCATTTAAACACCCAACATATGAGGTTAAAATTTACTTTCTCACTTTTATAACAAATTCAGGCATATTTTGAACAATTTTGTAGATAACTTAATCTGTGAAAAACCTAAAACTATTTTTAAACCCCCAATCTAAAATCAGTAAGTATGCAATTTATATTTATAAGTACTGTACTAAATTGTATAAAGATTTATACCAAAATTTTATAAAGATCTTTTTAATATTGACCACAGTGTAGAACACTGGGATTTCAGCGCAATATTTATGTTTAAAACTACGAAGAATTAACTTTGGGTTTTGTTACGACAAAGACCTACCTGTAACGGAGTGGCGTAAGGGTTGTGCATCTGGATGACGGGTGAGAAGGAAGCGTTGAGAGGCAGCCGTACACCAGAGAGAGGCCGAAGTCTGTACGGGCTCTGCACACTTGACCCTCGCACCTACACACACACTACACATACACATCGGTGAAACAACTACAAATAATCTTTCAAATTAATTAAATGTTTTCATTGATTCAATACAACTCACATTATGTTTGGATGATCTCGAATAAATACTGACTTCACATATAATTTTTCGGTATGGTTTTTATCCGGGATGAAGGACCAAAATTCTTTTGAAAACCAAAGGATTATGAATGATGAATTGGGGCAAAACTCGAAACCGATTTACTGCCTTAGGTCTATAGGTAAAAGTGAAATCACCATATTATAATAAATAATAATTATTATGCCTCTGCCCTTTGGATTGTAATTTTTCAAACCTTCCGGTAGTTTGACGAGCTTTTCTTGTTTCACGTAAATAGACACTGCTACAATATACGAGACCCACTCATCATGACGCAACACGGAAGTTGGTGGCATCTGACGACAAATCGGTGAACTACTCTGAACTACGACTGTTTACAGATAATTGTCCATTAGTTGATTCATCTTTCACAGGTGTTCTCAATCGTAGTGAGTGTGACAGAGACAGATTGGAAGATTATGAACCCTTAGAGAACCATTTAGTTGTGCATATAGCCCTAAGATTCCAGTGGATAGCCCCTAAGTATTTTTGAATTCTACTTTGATGATGAAATTGTAAGTTTAATCCGCACCAACACTAATTCCAGAACAGCAAAGGACAAGACGAGAGATAGTTTGACGTGACTTGGTAAAAAAAATGTCATAGCAAGGTTTGGCAAGCATTAAAAAATATTAAAGTATACAAAACATTAACTGAATTTCCTAATCACACAGCCTTTCTCAAACATTGGCTTACCTGATACTTAAAGCTTCCCTCCGATGTATGTATGAAGAGGTTGCTCTCAATTTCTCCCTCCTCCCGTCCCAGGAACACAACGTTGAAGGAAGTGTTTCCCAGAGGTGGAATAACCTGAAAAAATACCCTTAATTAATTATCCTGAGGACAAGCACATTGTCAAGCTGGCAGGTTTTTTTCAACTTGAATAGGAAAAAAATACTTAATGGAAAGAAAAGAGTCAAAACTTAGATAGTCTAGTTACAGCAGCTGCATGAACGCCCAGCTCTAGACAATCATGCAAAATTTCATCAAAATCAGACCAAAATTATTTGAGTTTTCGTGTTCACACACACATACATCATCACTAGGTCTCACCGGGCCATCTGCGGGAATAGCTATTTCCCTAGGAAAATTCACAAAAATCCAAGTGATAAGATGTTTTTGTTTTCTAAGACCATTGCATGTATTTCAACATAGGATGGAAAAACTTAAAATTATCTACTGCACATGAATTTCAGGTTCCTTACTATACTAATATTATTATTATAGGAAAAAAATTGAATTTCATAATTATTGAAATACAGATGTAAGCAACATATGTTACCTTGTCTTCAAAGAAGGAGCTGTGGAAGTGAACGGTGTTGCCAGATATGGACGACATGTGCACCGTCTTATTCTCATGAAGGTTGGTAATCGTGACCTTTTCATGGTGCGGAACTCCCAACGGCCTGGACAAAAACACTCAGGTTTAAGACTCGCTCAACTCGATGATTTTAGTGAGTCGGTAGTAACACTGGTCAACTAGTTCACTGGCTAAGAATGTACTTCAAGTAGCCTACTTTACGTCACAATGTAAAATTATTGTAAAAATGGAGTTTGCCGTCAAATAAATAAATAAATAAAAATATTTGATTTAATACTCCCTCCATTGACCTAAGGGTAGAGCCTGGGACTTCAGTAACTGGTCAGGGTTCAAATCTTGCTAATGACTAGTATATTTCATCCAATTGATAACATCAACCCTCTAAGGTTTAGCCTGAATTTAAATGTAAAACGTTTTCAGGCAAGAGCCTAACATCCTCGGATGTGAGGAAGGGATATAAAAACTATAATTTCCTATCTTAGTAAAATCTGTTCAACCTTAAAATGGTTAATTAATCTTGATAAAAAGTCAAACAAAAATTCACTATAAAATAATGTGTACGGAAACACAGAAACTCCAACATTAAAATATTGAAAAAAACGTCTGTTATTAAGTTAGGATAATTAACTTAGGGAACTCTTTAAATAAGTTTATTTTACTAAACTTTTGTAATATCAAGAATAACATTTATGAAGTTTAGTCAATGAGTTATAGCATAGAAATCCAAGAAGGGCTGTTATTTAGCATCTCAGAATAGGGGTGGTTTTAAATACCCTTTGTCCAATCTTAATGGGAAAGAAGAAGATATGTTCCTGGGTAGGGGTTTATATCTCACAATTATTTCCTTTGAGTTAAAATTCTATCTATAAATATTAGATCCAAAAAACATTAATAAATAATGTGATCTGTCTGTCACTAGTATTTTTTTAATGAATTACGAGTTTTGATTATGTTTCTTATCACAGGAATAGTTAAACTATTCCAAAAACCTAAAAAAAAAAAACACTGTGAAATGTGAAAATAAAAACTACCTCTGTTTGTTCAAGTTATATAAACATACAAGTTTTAGTTTTTGTCAAGCCAACAATTTATTTCAGGCCTAATTCAAGAAGCAATTTTGTTTTTTAATTGTATTTGTTACTTGTTTTGATTTTTTAACAACAGATCAATGTTGTACAAAAAATTAAAAAGCTAGTAATCAGTTCATTAAGAGATAGTTTAATTTGTTAGCCTACAAAAATTATCTATGTGTTGAATTGAGGAAATAATTATGCTTTTCAAAAATTGCACAGTAGAATAGATATTAAATCAAAGTCCACTGAATAAACGGTGGTGCACAACTGCAGCAGTTCAGAAGTTGTCAAAGAATTATCAGAGAAAAGCTCTGACACGGTAGCACTGGCAGTCCTCCAAATAATTTGTTGCTACTTTTAAACTAACCCAAAATACGATGCAACGATTTATTTTGGATTAATATTCGGTCAACAGAAAGTTCACTAACCGAACCTCGGTTGACATTTTACAAATAAACCAGTTGAGAATTTTCAGTAGGAAAACTTGTAAACGTACAGGCTAGTTAACAAGAATGGGGTTTCTTTAAAACCTAATCTTACCTTTCCTTAAAGTCCAGAAGAGCCGGATGAAACTTCAAGTGTGCTTTTAAATTATAATTTGTGCTTTCATCGCCATTTTGAACACTAAAAAATAAAAGATGACAAAATTTAAAATTGAGATGCAAAATAATTTATCATAGTAAATGGTTCCTCATACACAACTAATGATTTAAGAATGATATATGATAAGATTTTAGATTGAAAAATTTTGGCTTTTAAATTTAGGAATTAATAAGTTAGGCCCGCATAAATTATGGGTAGCCTGTAAATGAAAAAAATTAAACTTATTTGATTCATTTATTAAAATTAAATGCAATTTTGTAGCTAATAAATAAAAAGTTTACTATCCTTTGTATGTTACATACCTTAAAAATATATTGGCAGTCAAAAGACCTACTGAAAATTATGTTTGCAAGGCCTAAGTGAAATTAGTAAATTCAAACTAAATTTAATTTTTCGTTGAACATAGTAAAATAAATTACCAATGCTTGGTACAGGTAAATCTACTACTTAAGCTTAATATTTTATAGATATCAACAGCTAAACTAACAAAAACAGACAAAAAAGAGAAAATACAGTGTGGAATAGTGTTTAAAAATTGCTCTAAATAAAATAAAAAAAATTATTAAAATCAACATTCCACAGGTTACTTGCCTCAGGTGCGTAGCTTGACATACGTTACATTAGATGCAAGTAACCTGCCTGCTCTACTGACCTAGTGTAAACACGGCTTAAAGGCTTTTAAAAAAAGTGAAATAGAACAATTAATGTTGACTTACTTCGCTCCAGAGTTACGGGAAAATTCCTGAAAAAATAAAATAGGTAGGTATTATTATCTATAATCACTAGGCAAAACTAATTAATTACTATACATAGATAAACATAAACACCCTTCTTAAACAAGTAGGCTATATTAATCAAATTAGGAGTTACTACACTTTGATCTTAACCAACAGGCCGAGAAGCGATAATTTCAACAAAGAGTTGCCGCAGCAGTTGCTAAAAAACCAGTTTGTTTCTTTCAGGTGTACATAATTTAATTTTGTTAGCGCCTTAATAGATTTTATAAAATAATAACTTATAAAAAAATTTAATTAAAATAAATTATAGTCTACAAATATTAAAGGTCATATGGAAGGGTACTCTTACTTTTTATATAAGTTAGGCCTAATAACTTACAGGTAGGCTAGTTTTTATTTATAGGTTACTTATAGGACCTAAGAAAATACATCCTTTGCAATTATTATTAATTTGATAGAAGGTATAAGAAAAACATCATTAATAAAATACAAAACTTTTGTAACAGTAATCTCTCCATGATATCAATATTATTCATTATAGGCTAGCCTAACTTGTTCAAAATAAACTTGAAAAAAGCATAAATAACTAACAAAGATTAGTAATGTTCAAAAATATAGATCAGTAATTTAAACCCTAGAAAAGAAACAAACTAACGTAAACATAAACGACTACGGTATGTTATTTTAAGCCAGCTTTTAAATAGCGCAGAATCTTTTACAAACTAATAAATTGAGTTAAGGTAGGGCCTAACTTATTGCATTTGGCTGCAGTTCTTTAGTGAGGGAAATAAAATGAAATAAAAAAATGATATATAGGTATTTATTTATTAACTGCTTATGAATAATTAGCATTACCATTACCAACTCCTATGTCATTACCCAACACTTGTTGGATAGACTGCGTCAAGTAAAATTTACAGTCATCAATAAAAGCCTAATGTCATCAATAAAAATACTTAGGCCTATACAATTAGGCTATTACCAAGTAAGATGTTACATTATATTTTCAAAATCGTGTCATTGATTATAGAAATAAGTAAGTAGCCTATCTATGACCGTTTCTGCATGTTTTTGGATTAGGCCTTAGAATACAACGATGTTTTACTATTATTTGCAGAGTTACAAAATTTAAGTGAATCTTTTCTAAATTAAATCATATAAGTTACAGTATTTTCATAGGTGCATCGGAGCCTCTGTGTATTTTGTAGTAGGTCACGTAATAACTTAGTTCTTAACCATTTCCCTGAATTAAAGGAAATTAAATGTTAACAAAATAAATGTGGTATAGGCCTAGTTAAATTTTGTGTCTAAACCCAATGCGGACGTCTGAATCAACAAATCACAGTCTAATGCTTTCAGATGCTATTTAATTAGGTATGCATATTGTACCGGTACATATAAACCCGCATGCAAAAAAACAAACATGCAGAGTAAGCAAATTTCCATTTGTCTGGCTAAATTTCCATTTAAAAATATTTCTCTAAAATTGCAGATTTATTTCCTACACAAATAACATAAATTTTAACGAGTGCTTAGGTTTGCTCCTATAGAGAAGGTAAAGCAGTGAAAAATTTTGAATGAAAAAATAATATTTTGATAAGCTTAGCGTGAAATAAACAAAGTTGCCAAATTTGATAAAAATAGATCCACAAACAATCAAACTACAAATGTTTTGTATCCTCTCTAAGAGCTTCCTCTTTGGGGAGCAAGCTGGCGTAGTGGTTAGAGCGCGGGACTTCAGTCCCTGAGGTCCCGGGTTCGATACCCGCCAAGTCACCAATGGATTTTATCTAAGTGATAATGCCGCAACCCCTAGGTCTAGCCTGAAGTAATGTGAAAAACAATCCCAGGCTCGTGCCTAGCGTCCTCAGGACAAAAAAAAAAAAAAAAAAAAAAATCCTCTCTAAGAATGCGCAGCCAAATTCCACCTTGGGCATAAATGGCCATGGGAGTGAGTAATGATAAGAAAAACATGGCAATATGTTATTTAGCAAGTATACACTTTTTTGAATATTCTCCCTAACCGTTAGGCATACAACAACGTTTAAATTTACAAAATTATTTATTTTTTATCCCTACAAAATTGTTTTGGAAAAAAAATTATTTTTTTAAGGTCAAAAATGGTAAAAACAAATTTTTGCCCAATAAAACCCCAAAACTACCGTTCCCATAGTCCGATCATGCTTATTTGCGAATTTCTTTAAATAAATGAAGGTTTACACATTCGTACAAATTTCATAAAAATCGGATAGGCTAACTTAATTTTTTCTCACACTAACGGGCCAAAATGGCAGGTACCTATTCCAAAATTGGATTTACTGTACGTGAAAAAGTGCAAATTTCACAAATGGAAACTAAAAACCGTAATGATTAGAAATATTCTGTTTGTGGAATTGATTGTTAACATAGGCTCCGCAATTTTTTAAATCAACAATATTGTTTAACCTCTTACTTAACCCTCCAAGTGTCCATAGTTTAGGCCTTAATGTCCACCTATTTTTGGCGCATTTGCAAGGTTTTATTAAAACGGATCTGAGATGCTTAAAACAATGTTAATTCTAATGTTCTATCTTACTATTTTGTTTGGAAAATCATGGGCTTCAATATCATACATAAAACATAAGGAATATTTGTTTCAAAAAATTTTTTTAGGTAAAAAAAAAACTATTTTGGAAAAATTGAAAAAAAATAAGTTTGCGCTCAATGAAATTGTATAAAATTATAGGCCTATAAATATTTGAAAATAACCACTTTGTTCTAAATTTAATGAGGATTACAAATATATAATCATATAGTGAGGTAAGTTATCAAATAAATAAGTTATGAGTGAAAAACGGATTTCAGTACATAGCGTTTAGCTAAGAATGCATAGCCTAACCATAGCTAGGAATCTGGCTGATAATTTACATCAATATCACTACCTACTTCTTCAGGATCATCAACCAGCCCTTCAAAATCACTTAAATCTTCTTATAATGCACCACGTATATCACTACTTTTGATTTTTAACACTAAAACAATGATAAACGTAATAAAACACATCAGTCATCGGTCCGAGGATAACCAAGCTGTTTACGAATACGCACGTCAGCTGACTGCTACAATTACGATCGGCTCGGAGAACATACAGCGCTGAGACAGACCTCTGGAGAAAGCTTAGAATATAACGGAAAGAACGATACCTAACTTGATCCAGTTCAATCCGATTCAGTCAGTCATAGAGCCTTCGCCGTAAACGATGTTCGTGCGTCGAAAAATCGACGCGTGACACTACACAAAGTGTGTAGCGCGTCGATTTTTCGACGATGGACGCTCGGAGGGTTAACAGGGTAGGCAATGGGGGTGATTTATTTTTTTTAAAACAATCCCTATTGAGTGACCCCTCATTTTGAAGGGTTTGTCAAAAGAAATACAATGACGCAAACTCGAGGTAGATATTTCATCCCCAGCCTAAATGGCGGATATTCAAAAATTTGATTTAACTTATGTGAATAAGCACCCATTTTGAAATACCTGCCATTGCATTTTTATTTTTGATATTTGTTATTTCATTGTGTTTCACCCACTATATTTCAATTGAGCAAAAACAGTCTGGAGGTAACGTAAATTAATTAGTCGGTTCATTATGACCTAAACTTGGCCTTACATCTAACCTTAATCTAACCTATCTTTCTCTATTTCAGATTCCTTTTATAACAGAGGAGAAGATACTTAATACTTATATACATTTCGGGACACATAATATATTAACATGTGGACAATTATTTTGTTGATGAAAATAGCGTATTTGAATTTTAACTGCATGTTTTCCATCTTTAACAATTTCCAGTCAAAAACTAAGCTAAACAATATAACTTAAGACATGAAAAACGAGCAGTAGCCTAATGAGTGTGTGAGCGAGTGAACTAACCTATCTTTCTCTATTTCAGATTCCTTTTATAACAGAGGAGAAGATACTTAATACTTATATACATTTCGGGACACATAATATATTAACATGTGGACAATTATTTTGTTGATGAAAATAGCGTATTTGAATTTTAACTGCATGTTTTCCATCTTTAACAATTTCCAGTCAAAAACTAAGCTAAACAATATAACTTAAGACATGAAAAACGAGCAGTAGCCTAATGAGTGTGTGAGCGAGTGAACTTGTCGCCTAGTGTGGCCGTTCCGTAAGATAACATGGGGAGCGTATTTGTCGCCGCGACCAAAAACCACTTCCGGTCGCGCTTATTTTTCTGTTAATGTAGGTACCGGTGGTTGCTGGTCACTTAATGAGGCCGTCTCCGTTTAATTTAATGTTATGTACTTTCATTTATTGTGGCCGCGACAAGGTTGCCAAGTGTGGCTGTAGCCTAAGGCCTTGAGACTAGGCTATTTCAAACAAATCCTTATGTCTGCTGGCACATTGCTCTATAAATTTGGCTTGAAAAAAAACATACTACTTTCTGTTCTGCCCAGCTAATCTATGACCAAAATTATGATTTAAAAAACTGAAGTAGCCTAGTTCCTTCTTCACATTATTTAAATTTGACAGATAGGCCCTAAGTTTAGCTTAGAATAGGCCTATTTTTTTCTTACTCCACCAAAGTTTTGATTGAATGTCAACAAAGAACGCGCATAGCTTTAATTTTTTATTGGTTAAATGCATATTAGCTTAGGAATAATTTCGTACCAAGCAAACTCCCCCGACATAAAATGTTTTAAGGTAAGAAGACACACATACCTTGTGTACAGATATGGGAATGTTATCCACAATGTACTTCACATCATTGTTGTCTTGTAGGAAAGCTGTAAAGAAAGAAATAGTATTTTAGAATCAAGTACGCATTTTAAACACATATATTCTTTCTAAAGACAGCACAATAACAAGTTTTAATAAAATCCCGCCATAACTTGGCAAGTCAGCATGGATGTAAGGACAAGAAGACGTCCTTCAATGGAGGTATACAGAAACTGTAGCTGTGAGAATGACAGTTGTTTGTAAAATGAAAATATAAATAAACTTACCATTACTATTAGAATTTGATGACATCTGCGACTTGACAGCGACATCAAGTAAAATAAACAGTAGAAAATAACACATGACAGGACTAAAGGACATTTTCACTTTCATATTTTCACAGCAGCAATTTTTTCTTTCCTCCTGCTGCTGCTTCTGCAGCCTGCCTGCACCACTTGGATCGATCGATATGAAGTTAGAAGTTGAAGTTGAAGTTCCATCTGCTGTTCTCTGCTCGTAGTGAGTGAAGTGAATACTCGAGTTTCGAGTTTTCGATTATAATGTATCGATAATAACTACTTGTGGCTAGAGTAGTTACTATACAAAATGTCAATTTACGAAAACCTAAAAACATAAAATACTATTTACTAGAGGCTTTGTGTAGTTAGTAACATTGAAAATTATTTGAAATGTGGGTAATTCTGAGCAATTACTGGGTCAACCCCAATTTTTTTCATATTTTACTACGGTCATCAGGAGGTTCTCAGAAAGCAAGAAACATATAATTCAAGCCCCGCAAGGTTAAGTTAGGTTAGGTTAGGTTAGGTTAAGTTAGGTTATCCTAACCTAACCTAACCTAACCCAACCTAACGTAACGGTACTGTTACAATTGGCCTTAGAGATGTATTTGAGACTAAAAAAAACATAATAAGTTAGGTTAGGTTAGGTTAAGTTAGGTTATTAATTGCCTCAGTAATCGCCGGGAGGATTGTCGGAGGAACCACTAGCCATAGCCATAACGGTACTGTCACAACTGGCCTTCCGCGCGTCTCCCGCAAGCCTCTGTTATCGCTTGGACTTTGAACCTTCTTATCGCTCGGCAACCTGTACGATGGCCTTGCGGGCCTTGAATTATATGTTTCTTGCTTTCTGAGAACCTCCTGATGACCGTAGTAAAATATGAAAAAAATTGGGGTTGACCAAGTAATTGCTCAGAATTACCGAAATGTGTATCAGTTATGTGGTTAACACGCATTTTTGGATATATTTATTAACTAGCTGTACCCGCGGGCTTTGCCCCGTTTTACTTCATAAGTGAACTCGTTCGCATAGGTCAATCACGTCCTGGTTGAAGTTCGTTCGCTACGCTAACTCGCCTCCAGGTTGAAGTTCGTTCTCTACACTCACTCAGCTGTACCCGCGGGCTTTGCCCCGTTTTACTTCATAAGCGAGCTCGTTCGCATGGCTCAATCACGTCCTGGTTGAAGTTCGTTCGCTACGCACACTCACCTTTAGGTTGGAGCTCGTTCGCTGCGCTCACTTGCCTTCAGGTTAGCTCGTTCGCTACGCTAACTCGCCTCCAGGTTGGAGTTCGTTCGCTACGCTCACTCACCTTTTGGTTGCAAATTAGCTGTTGTCATAAATAAAAAAAATAATAGTGCTGCACCCTGTTGGAAATCCTTGTGTTTTTGCATATCATAGAACCAACTTTTTAGTTGAAACAGCTGACTAAATTCTTTAATTCCCTTTTAATATGAATACTCATAAGGTTAACATGGGGAACTATAGAGCCACTGGGGCGGAGCCCGAAAGGATTTTTGAGATAAGAATATGCCTATATGTTAATCGGGAATGTGAGCTATCATCATGCCAAATTTCAGCAAAATCCGTCCAGTGGTTAATGTGTTCACTTGTCACAAACATACATCCATACATCCATACATCCAAACTTTCTCATTTATAATATTAGTAGGATAGTAGGATATATAAGTAACAACAACAGGGGCCCATTTCATAATAAAGTACAAACTAATATTATTATTAAATCAGCTGATCACCCAATGCAAATCTAATGGAAATTACATGTTACAAGTTGTAACTTGTAACTTGTAGTTTATTATGAAATGGGCCCCAGGTCTCAGATTACCGAACATTTTATTCGTCGCTATTTTACAATCGCAGTCGTTCGTATCATGCTTCTCGGACTTGACTTTGGAGCACGAATACTAGAAAAAATACCTAGTATTCGTGCTTTTGAGCGAGAGGAACGGGTCAATTCCCGGCATGTCCACAACTATTAATTTGAGACGTTTGAAGTTAAGATTGCTTTCCCAAAGCGTTTGATATCCTCTGATTAAAACATACCATAGGTGCAGGAAAACTCCAGATGAAGATGAAAAGCTATATTTACGTTGTAATAAAAGTAAGCTTGTCATGCTGTATTATGTAAAAGTTTATTAAAGTCATAAAATACCTGTATCCACGACACTGTTTTTGTTATTTTGTCGGTTGTTGTTTAGCTGGTAGGTTTGTCATTGTATTGTTGTTGTTATTACATCGTTATTGCATTGTTTGAATTTATTCTAGTCTATAAGCACAGCATTTGTTATTATCGGCAGATTTATCAACTATGTATTCTAATTTGTTATTATTGACAGGTTTATCAACTATGTATTCTAATTCTAGTCATTCGCTTTATAATCTTACACTGATTTTGTTCCAATTTGCAATACTGTAAGCTAAGTTTATTTATATATTTGCACATAAACTATCTCATAATTTCAAACAGTTTTCTTTTTGTTCTTGTCAGCGAATTTCCCTATGGGGAAGTAGCTATTACCGTGTAGGTCTCATGGTAAGACCTAAGCCCGGGACCGATTTACTTTTTCATTTTGATGTCCCCAGAGGCCAAAAACACCATTCGTTCAAATTTATATATATATATATATGTCCATCCGCACGATAACTTGAGTAATTTTTGTCCGATTTTGATAAAATTTGGTTTGAAGGTGTAAGGCGGGATAAACTTGAATGAGTTCGCGAACCAGCATGATCGGACTATGGGAACGGGGGTTTATGGGGGGTTTTATGGGGTAAAAATAGGTTTTTCCCATTTTTGACCCTAATAACACAAAATTTCACAATTTCTTTTTAAACCATTTTGTAGAGCTTAAAAAAACAAATAATTTAGTATATTGAAGCGTTATTATGCGCCTAATTGTTACGGAGAAAATTCAAAAAAATTGTAATTTTAAAATTCCCATGTTATTCTTATGGAGAATAAGTCAACTGTTGTAGTTTGCTTGTTTATGAACATATTTTGATCAAATTTGGAAAATACATTAATTTCTTACTAAACTACAGTACCTTTTAATATTTTACATAAAAAAAAAACTTTTTTACCCTCCCTGTTGCAGCAAACCTAAGTACTCATTAAATTAATTCTGTTTAAATAGGGAATAAATGTGATATTTTTAAGGAGACATTTTAGTTAAAATCCAATCAGGCAGATGGAAATTCGCTAAGTCTGCAGGTTTGCTGCGGCGGGGGTATTTTTTAAAACATTATTTAATTTACAATCCGTTCAAAAGTTGAACAATAGGCAAATTAAATAGCAACAACATTAAAAGTTGACTCGAAGAACAAGAGAATTTTGATAACACTTAGCCGAATCTGAATGGGAGGTCAAATATCGTATAATGTTGCTTTTCAGTCTGAAAATGGTGTTGTAATTGTCCAATAAATTTAGTGCAAGATGATTTGTGTGGTTTTTCCAATTTTATAATGTATTTTTCGCTGGATTATGTATAATTTCTTCTTTGACTATTCGAATTTTAAGATCATTATGTTCAAATGAATAAATAAATAAATATGTAGTTAAAAAGATAGTTGACAAAAATAAAATGACAAGAAATAAATAGAAAACTTCAAAACGCACCGGAAGGAAGCATGACTTCAAACCCCTAAACTGATTCATACATGTTTTATAAATCTATAAGAGGGTAAGTTTAATATAGCTTTAAATAATTATCATTATAGTGGATCATAAATATGGAATACGCTTGTCAGTCAATGTATTGTTACTAATTATGTGTACTCGTTATTCAATACAATTGGTTCGATAGAGATCGGAAGTCGACAAGGGAGGCCTTCTTTTAGGTAACCTTTCATCTAGGTACCATTTCACTTAAATCACATATCAAGTTGGTACCGACAACTCAAATCGGTCAGCTAGGTCCCGGCCCCTCCCTTCAGGGGGAAGGGCGTGGCTTCGCCGTGGTCACGTGTTTCGCGGTGCGGTCGCTTACCCTCTACACTTCTGAAAATTCCCGCGACTTCTTTGAATTACCTCTACTCCACCCAAATTTCAGCCTTCCTTCGTCTCGTTTCGTGTTCTGTTCTGCGTTTCTTCTTCTTCTTCTCTTCTTAGATCTGCTGCTGCTCTTCTTAGCTAGCTCTGTCTAGTTAAGTTTGAGGTTGGATTTTGGAGAATTTATTGTTTGTCAATTTCAATTGTCAAATTGTCATACAAATTTGTATTTTAGGTGTGTATTTTCAATTTAGGCCTAAGTTACAACAACTACTACAGTTAAAAGAACCATTTTTGTCATCACAAAATTGAAAGGTAACTTATTGACATGGACATGGTCATTAGAATATTAACGTTTAAGCAAATTCAAATTAGTTTCTGGTAGCCTATAAAATAAATTGGGGGTACAGTTTCCTGGGCTTCGCTAATATTGATTGAAACTATCAAATTGAAAATATTGATTAATAATCGATATTTAAAATATATCTATTTTAAAATTAAACTGCACTTTATGCCTTACGTCCTACACTATAATTTTTCGAATAAATATATCGATCAATAAATCGATTATTTCATTCAATATATGAAGTTTGGTTAGTAAAGTTCCTAACCTAACTTAGCTAACCGAATGAATCGATACATCAAATAGGCCTAGTCTATCCATTAGTTGCATACTGCGCTTTTAGTTGGATTTTTAAACTCATAGAAAATTATGACTATTAGTTTTAATATAACTTCCGGTACTAGACTATTGATCGATTTCGAGCAACAAGTGCACTAGTTTTTTTTATATTTTTATTTTTTATAAGATGCTGACAAAGTATAAAGTTTTTCGTATGACAGTTTTAGTTTACCAATTGAGTTTTTAGCATTTTATAGCATAGCCTATACGTATTTGATACTCTCAGCAGCTGGAGTAGTGTGATTTTGGTGAAAACAGACTACACTCTGTTGGTAAAAACATTCTGCGATCTATTGGTGAAAACAGACTATATTTGGTAAATACAGACTACACTCTAGATTTTTTCTTTGATTATTGTGGCTTTACGTGACAGGTGGAGGTGGATGGCTATAACTTACAAGGTTACATGGTACACATTAAATTCATAATGATTTGCCTATTTTGGTAGACTGGCTTTTTCGTAGGACTAC